CCCCCGATGCAAAAAAAATTATCCGATAAGCGCGATAAATATGAGTACGAAAATTCGAATATTTTTGAGTACGAATCTATATAACACAACATTCGGACTACCTCGGATAACTACCACAGTTCATGGTAAAACAACAATGGCGGCGCCCTTGAGCGGCACTGTTTATTTCCAAGTTGATTTTGTTGGAATTAAAGATTTGCCAACCAGACGGGCTTTTTTAAAGGCTGCCGTTGATGAGGACATCGTACTATAAGCCGTATCCTTCCTCGAGAAGATTTAATGGTTTGATTTACGATATATTTGCTAGTATATTGTTAAATTGTATTTTATATACCCGATGGACCTTTTTGAGGTTTTTTTTTTTTTTTTTTTTTTTTTTTTTTTCGACCACCCAGTGGACATTTTTGAAAAAAAATTTTGTAAACCAAGAAAAAAAAAAGAAGTGGCCTTATGAATTTCATGAATATTTCTTTCAGTTTGAGTCAATAGTGTTTTTCACACATTAAAACAGAGTACAGAAATGGAATCTACACTAAAAATTCTATAAGATTGCCAAGTTTGATTACACTATCTTTAAAAATAAAAAAGTTATGAAATTTTTAATAAAAATTTTGCTTTGCTCAGGTCCGCAAACTCGAATCGTTTTCCTATATAATATATCGGTACAATGTTCCAGAAAATCATGTCATTTCACAAACTTCAAACTTTCATAACTTTTTTATTTTTCAAGATATTTCCAAAATTTAAAATGTTCTAAGTTTGTCTGTTTTAATACTATCATTAAAACACACTTAAACAAGGAACATCGCAATGCGATGCAACCAGGTTTTCAGCAAAATATTTCACAGAAGCTTTGTCATGAAGGGGTATTTGTTTTTAATTGAATTTTTAGGAGGAATTATGGCTTTTTTAATATTCCTCAAACAAAAATGATTGAGAAATTTTATTTTGTCTATTCGCCTTTTTTCCCCAAATGTTTTAGAAAGGTAAACAGTACTTTATTTTTGCTTAATTTTTGAAGTTGCGCACTGTAGAAATTGTTCACTATATATTCTGTATAAGGAAAAAATATACAAAGGGCCATAATTCGGTCAAATATTATCCAATCACAAAACCCCGACAATAAGTGCCAGGCACTTGATAACAAAGCTTCTAAGAAAGTTTGGTCAAAATCCGTTGAGAAATGTAGGAGGAGTTGCGCACAGAAGAAATTGTTCACTATATATTCTATATAAGGAAAAAAAACAAAGGGCCATAATTAGGTCAAATATATACCAATTGCAAAACCCTGGCAATATGTGTCAGGGCACTTGATGACAAAGCTTCTGAGAAAGTTTGGTCAAAATCCGTTGAGAAATGTAGGAGGAGTTGCGCACAGAAGAAATTGTTCACTATATATTCTGTATAAGGAAAAAAAAACAAAGGGCCATAATTAGGTCAAATATATACCAATTGCAAAACCCTGGCAATATGTGTCAGGGCACTTGATGACAAAGCTTCTGTGAAAGTTTGGTCAAAAATCTGTTGAGAAATGTAGGAGGAGTTGCGCACAAAAGAAATTGTTCACTATATATTTTATATAAGGAAAAAAAACAAAGGGCCATAATTAGGTCAAATATTATCTAATCGCAAAACCCCGACAATATGCGCCAGGGCACTTGATGACAAAGCTTCTGTAAAAGTTTGGTCAAAATCCGTTGAGAAATGTAGGAGGAGTTGCGCACAGAAGAAATTGTTTACGCCCGCCCGCCTGTCTGCCCGCCGACATACCTCAATCTAATAACCAGTTTTTTCCTTCGGAAAACCTGGTTAAAAACATTTTAACAAAGTTGAAATTTTAGCTGGGTTGCTATACATATTGACACTCTAGTTTTGAACATACCACCGCCATTGTCACCATTTTCTAATTCTCCAAGAAACCCTACCCAAACACCACCAGAGGTAACCCCCTCTTCAAGCAACAGTACAGTACGCCATGAGAACATTTAATAATGAACAATTAATACCCTTCAACAGCATCTATGGAGTGGTTTCTCTTAGTCCTCCTCTGTCTTCAATATAAATATATATATATATCTATACTTTTTTTACAACACTACCTTCCTGAGTGCCATTCATCAACTATGTTTGAATAAATTCTTGAAATAAATTTTGACGACAATGAGGTGGATAAAAGTCTATTAACATTAGATCTGAATCTGCATTGAAATCATCTAAATCAACAGGAAGTGATAATGAACCCTACCAAATCTGTATGTAATACACATTTTTTATTTCAGCATGTCACCTGGATCAAAACAAACTACACCAAACCTATGATAAAGATGATAGAGACAGAGCAACAGATAAGCTTTAAAAGTGAATTGGGTATTACTCCATCATTTCCTTTGGAATTGGGTATTGGCTCCATTTAATTGGGTATTCCAAAACTCGATACCCTATGATTTCAAGATCAATTGGGTATTCAATAATGAAGATATGAATTTTATGGTTTCAATATCAATAAAATTAAATTTAGATATCTTAACTGTTTTAAAAAGAAAATAGGATTAACAATTAACTAGAACTTTTCACAATTGTTTTATTTTTTATATAAAATGCTCATGTTAAATTTCATAATACTTTTAACAAGTTCATTTTCCGACTGTTTTTTTTATTATTTGCGACTGTTTTGTTTGGGTTTGACTTAATACCGGATATGAGTCATATCCGCCAATATGACTTTAAATACCGGATATGACCTATATTTTACAAAGTAATTATTTTTTTATAAATTTTTCCTTGATACAATGTTTTATAATAATAAAATTTACATGCCAAATTTCGTTAAATTTGGTCCATAAATAAAAAAGTTATAAGTTATATTCGAATTACGTTCTAAAAAAGTCATATCCGTGGCGGACAGGAGATACCGAATATGACTTATTTTTTATGAATTGATTATTTTTTTATGATTTTTTCTCGATACGATGTTTTATAATAATATAATTATTTTACATGCAAAATATCGTTAAATTTGATCAATAAATAAAAAAGTTATAAGTTATATTCGTTGCGTTTTCTATAAAAGTCATATCCGTGAAGGACAGAAGATACCGAATATGACCTATATTTTACAAAGTAATTATTTTTTTATAAATTTTTCTTGATACGATGTTTTATAATAATAAAATGAATTTACATGCAAAATTTCGTTAAATTTGGTCCATAAATAAAAAAGTTATAAGTTATATTCGAATTACGTTCTAAAAAAGACATTCGGCGGTATTCAGAAACTAAACAAGGCTGCAGAACGCGAGAAATTGTTCACCAACTAGAAATGTGTCATCATGCCACGGATGCCCCCGCATGCAGCCAAAATTTCAGATGGTGCATTAATTATTTTTTTCATTTTAAGTTCAAAGCCCTTAAAACTTTTTAATGTTAACACAAACCATTTCCATACAATGTTCAACGGCACTAAAATTATTCAGTCTTAACCTTTAAGAAATAGCATATTGCATATTTGTAGCCAAAATAATGGCTAAAAGAATGAGTGCTGAAACTGAAAGTTCAAAATTTTTCCAACATTCAGGAAAGATAAGTTTGTCTAAAATCATTGAACCATGACCAAATTTAAACTTAAACTGCTTATTCCTAAGATGTATCTATATTATTTTCAAAGTGAAAGGGACATAACTCTGCCAAAAAATCATCAAACCATGACCAAATTCCAACTTGACCTGCCCATTCCTTTGACATATCCATATGTCAAATTAAAGTTGAACAGAAACTGTAAATTTCATATCATTTTCAAAGTGAAAGGGGCATTACTCTGCCAAAAATCATTGAACCATGACCAGATTCGAACTTGGCCTGGGCATTCCAAAAACATATCCATATGTCAAGTTTGAGTTGAATGTGTTGTACCATTGGGGAGATAATACAGGGAAACTGAAAATTTCATATTACTTTCAAAGTGAAAGGGGCATAACTCTGCCAAAAATCATTGAACCATGACCAGATTCGAACTTGGCCTGGGCATTCCAAAAACATATCCATATGTCAAGTTTGAGTTGAATGTGTTGTACCATTGGGGAGATAATACAGGGAAACTGAAAATTTCATATTACTTTCAAAGTGAAAGGGGCATAACTCTGCCAAAAATCATTGAACCATGACCAAATTTGAACTTGACCTGCGCATTGCTTTGACGCATCCATATGTCACGTTTGAGTTGAATGTGTTGTACCTTGAGGGAGATAATGAACGGAAACTGAAAATTTCATATTATTTTCAAAGTAAAAGGGGCATAACTCTGCCAAAAATCATCGAACCATGACCAAATTTGAACTTGACCTGCACATTCCTTTGACGCATCCATATGTCACGTTTGAGTTGAATAAGTTGTACCTTGAGGGAGATAATGAACGGAAACTGAAAATTTCATATTATTTTCTAAGTAAAAGGGGCATAACTGCCAAAAATCATCCAACCATAACCAAATTCGAACTTGACCTGTATTTTCTCATGACATATCCATTTGTCAAGTTTGAGTTGATTGTGTTGTACATTTGGGGAGATAATGAACAGAAACTGAAAATTTCATATTATTTTCAAAGTAAAAGGGGCATTACTCTGCCAAAAATCATCGAACCATAACCAAATTCGAACTTGACCTGTATTTTCTCATGACATATCCATATGTCAAGTTTAAGTTGAATGTGTCCAACCGTTCTTAAGATAATGAACGGAAACTGAAATTTCATATTATTTTCAAAGTAAAAGGGGCATAACTCTTCCAAAAATCATCGAACCATGACCAAATTCGAACTTGACCTGTATTTTCTCATGACATATCCACATGTCAAATTTGAGTTCAATGTGTCCAACCGTTCTTAAGATAATGAACGGAAACTGATGATGACGGAATGACAGAATGACGGAAGGACGGAAGGACGGAATGACGGAACAGGGTAACACTATATGCCCCGGCCATTACATGGCGGGGGCATAAAAATGTGCCGTGTGATACCTCCTTGCATTCTGAATTCCAACAACATGAACAAGACCAAATAAGCAACACGCTGCTGGCACACTGTCACACCTCAGATAAGACAGCACTTTACAGTACACCCGACATTGACTGTTTCTTCAACTCTGTGTCAACACTTCTACGTGGTAATGAATCCCGTAGTACTGAATTAAGATATAGGTGTTGTATGGAATTGGTGTTGAATAAATCACAAATCACTACTCAATCACAGTTCAGGAGACTCACCGTATTAGCTCCGACTTTTGATAAGGACTGTATTAATTGTGCGCGTCCAGGGACGTATTCGTCTATGCACATGTTTATGGCCACATCAAGACTTCTCAATCTGCCAATTCAGGTAATTTACCCTGCAGTAAACGGAACAACTAACTATAACTTTAAAACAATGAACACTTTACTGAGACCACCATTCGCAGATCCAGAACAGGGCACCATTTACCTGATGTGGACAAGCCTAAGTCTGCCCAGGGAGCAACCAACTTCAACTAACCCTTAGAAAGCAAACCACATTGTTCCACTGGTTGCTAATGTAACCAGGAGATCGATCCAGAAAATGCCTTATCTGTTGAACTGGAACAAATCAAAAAGGGACAACTGTCAGAATCCAATTACAACCAAAAATAAGTTTGAGCATCTGACACACGAAATCATCAACGTTGAGGAGAATCAAAGTACTGAAAGTACAATCCAGATGAATTCCACAAAGAGAGTCAACAAGAAATCGAAAGTCGGCATTCACCCAGTACGGGATGAGGCGCATGGCGCACCGACTAGAGACTACCACAATGAATGTGACGACCACCACTCAGTCGGTAATCACCCTGTACGGGAAGAGGCGCCTGTATGGAGAAAAAAAACCTTTATGATCTATAAGTCATATTAGGTATCATCTGTCTTTCACGGATATGACTTTTATAGAAAACGCAACGAATATAACTTACAACTTTTTCATTTATTGACAAAAATTAACGATATTTTGCATGTAAAATCATTTTATTATTATAAAACATTGTATCAAGAAAACATCATAAAACAAAAATTAATTTATAAAATAAAAGTCAAATTCGGTATCTTCAGTCCACTACGGATATGACTTTTATACAGAAGGTGCAATATAATTATGTAACTTACAAAGTCATATTCAGTATCTTCTTTCCACTACGGATGTGACTTTTATTTAGAACATGCAACGAATATAACATGTAACATTTTTATTTATGTATCAAATTGAACCATTTATGGCATATTATTTCATTTTATTATGAAAAAAATATCGTATGGAGAAAAAAAAAACCCTTTATGATCTATAAGTCATATTCAGTATCATCTGTCTTTCATGGATATGACTTTTATAGAAGACCAACGAATATAACTTTTAACTTTTTCAAATCATTTTCACTTTGTACGACGCCATATTGCTTTTCAAAGCGTCTATTGATACAGCTGGGACATACTTATTGACGGTCTCCGCAAAATCAACGGTCTCTGCCGGTCTGTAAAGACCGTCAACCTGAGTAGACAAATCGACGGTCTCATGCTTAGTCTGTCTTTTGAGACCGGGGACCGTCGAAGACCGGAGACCGTTGATTAGTTAGCATTGATTCGGGAATATTCGGATATCATGCATATCGATATTATTTGTCCAAAACTACGAGTGTACGACAGATTAATTTTGCGGTGATAAAAATGACAATACGCACGGGTTTTTAAGACAATTGCGCATTCTTAAAAAATCAATTGCGTATTTTATAAAATTAATTGCGTAAATACGCAAATACGCACCTTATCTGTTGCTCTGTAGAGAAGAAGAAAAAATAAGACTGCCTGCAAGCATTCAGTTCATTTCACAACATTTGTAATTTTGCTGTTTATTGTTACAAATATTTGATATGAGTTACTTAAAGTTACTTAAAACTTATAATAAGTATTTTTAATGGAACATTAACACTTCCAAAAATGCAATTTGTATGCATGTCTCCTTGACACCAAAAACTTCTGTGACAAACTCAGTCTGAGTCAAAGGAATTGCACCGATGAAGACAGTTACGCATCACAGCATCAACAGTTAAAGGAGATAGTACATGTAAAAACTGACCGAGGAAAGTATCACCTATTACAGCTACTACTCTTCCGGACCTGAAAGCATTACAATATGGAAGAACAAATGTGCCTAAAAGCGTATCAGTACAGAGCAAGTCTAGATAAGAATCTAAACTGTGACAGCTACAAAACTCTGGATTAACCCAAATATCCAGGGCTTGGATGTAGCAATGATGGCATTCTCACAACTGATGGAAAAGCTTCCCAGTGTTATAGAAATAAAATGTCCTTTGGTACTTGAATGCATCCACCCGTTAAAACAAGACAAATTGAAACCAAAATAGAGGTTTGCTGTTGCTACAGAGTAACAGATAGGAAAAAGAATGTAAAGAAGACTCATGCCTACTCTTATCGGGCACAAATGCTATTTGCACAACTGATAAACGAGAAATTATCATCTGGTTACCAAATTGTGTAATTGTACAAACTTTCAAATATATATATAATATTATGTCAGTACAAATTGCAAGGATGACGTCAATACAAAACTAGAACTGTGTCCAAAGGACACGGATGCCCCCACTGACAACATATATATGGTATATAGTGAAAAAATCAACAAAGGGCCATAATTCTGTTAAATTTGGTTGCAGCAAAAATTCCTTCCTTTACTTCCATCTACACATTAAGGTTGTTCATCCCTGCAAGTTTAAGCAAAATCTGCCATCAGGTTTAAGAGGAGTTGCGTTCACAAAATTTCTATATGGTATATAGTGAAAAAATCACTAAAGGGCCATAATTCTGTTAAATTTGGTTGCAGCAAAAATTCCTTCCTTTACTTCCATCTACACATTAAGGTTGTTCATCCCTGCAAGTTTCAGCAAAATCTGCCATCCGGTTTAAGAGGAGTTACATTCACAAAATTTCTACATATTATATAGTGAAAAAATCAACAAAGGGCCATAATTCTGTTAAATTTGGTCGCAGCGAAAATTCCTTCCTTTACTACCATCTACACATTAAGGTTGTTCATCCCTGGAAGTTTAAGCAAAATCTGCCATCCGATTTAAGAGGAGTTGCGTTCACAAGATTTCAGGACGTACGGATGGACAAGTGCAACGCTATATGCACCTCACTTTGTGGGGGCATAAAAAGAAAGATGCTCATAAACATGAGACTACTTACACTCAGAAGGGGGAATTTCATCAAAAGATGTCTTACATGTTTATGACATGACCAATTTTATGACAAAATTAAATTACTCTGCCCCACTAAATGTTAGTGGTTTGCTTTTGGTAAAACACTGTAGAATGAAAGCTAATTTTCTATGCCTTCCAGAAAATTTATGATTGAAATCATGTAGGACCAATGATACGAGTCTGTACTCACTATACATTCAAATACTGAATAAACAACTCATAAAAAAACCTATCTCAACAATTACACATGAACAAGGCCCCATGTCTTTAAATATAAATGCTTATAAAACATGGTCATACCACTTGTTAACATTAACATTTTATAACTCCCCTAATTTTTCACACATTAAAGCTTAATAGCTCACATAATATAACTTCTGCTCCCAATAAATATGTAACCAAACCTTTCAAATCTTCAAGAATTCTCTTTAACAGCTGTACTCATTTCTGAAGTGTCATCTTTTTAGGTAAGATCTTGATGTTGAATACATTACAGAGTTGAAATCCTATCACTTAGTTTATCAGCACAGTTGCTTCTCTGCACATGTCTACCTACTTTAAATAGTACTGATGCTTCACAAATGCTTCATAGATGCTTCACACATAAACACTGCATTTTCATTATGTTTACCTGAATTAATATTCAGTTCATACGAGTCAAAATCAGCTTTATCACAGTGTTAGTATGTATATATCACAATTTTATTTTCTGTATCACTAGAGAGGTGATTTCTCTATAACTGTATTTAACATACTGTTACCATTGAATAATGATGTAGTAGCCACAATGAATTTGTATCCTGCAAAAGGAAAGAGAAGAAAGATAATCTGGCTGTTAAAAATATTCCTAATACATGTATTTCCATTTGTTATTTCTATCTTTTGGTTTTAACCCTTTCCCCCATGAGCATATTGTGAAAAATGGCCGTTTTCACTGAAAAAGCCTCCTGTTACAAGTTCAAACTGCTATGAAACTATGAAAAATGCTTCAATACTAATCAAACTTGGCACAAATGTTGACTGGGCCATTGCCTTTGTAACGACATGCTCAGTCTTAAATTTCCTGTTACCATGGCAACGAGGGGACATCTCAAAATTGCCAAAAATCACTATTTTGCCTTGATTTTTTTCCATCAAACTTTATTTCAAAGTGCTGCAACTTCTCAAGGGATTGAGATAGAGTCAAAGGTTTTTCAGCGTTGGTTACACGTTACATTATGATCGACCTGGGGTCATTTTTAGCCTCTCACAAGTCCAAAATTTTCTTGGCGATGAGGGGGACTACCGCCCCCCTTCAAACCCCCCAAACAGAAGGGGGCACATCCCCCTTCTGGCAACCCCCTGATGTATCTTTTGGATGGGGAGCGGCGCCGAAAAAGTGCTCAATTTTTTTAGCAACATTTCTCAAACGAAAACATGTGTTTGGGGCCCAAATAGGACATTTTTTCACTATTTGAGGCCTAAAAAAAGGGGGGAGGGGGTCGAAAGTGTGTTGTTTCGCGTATATATGAGGTAAAGGGTTAAACAAAATTTAATAGAACCTTATTCATATTTCCCCAGATGTGATGCATTTTATCAAAAATTAAGCCCAAATATTGTACAATACTCTATTAAATTCTCTGTTTCCAAATATTAAAATCACTCAGTCACAGCAAGTATACTTGAATCTGATCTATCTAGCCTGTACTTCAGTTGTTCTATTTTTTGTTGGGTGTTACGCCACACCAACACAGCGTAGGTTAAATGGTAACTTTCCAGCTTTACTTCAAGTGCCCCTATGTGAATTATTCAAAGTCAATACTTATTTGGCTAGAGAATTTGATTGCAGGCGTTTATAGGTTAGCACTTTCAAGTTACATAGCAACTAGAGCTGTCATTGATTTAGTGCAAAGCATATTGACAATACAATAATATATCGATAATTACTTAAAATTATTGTCTATAATTTACTTTCATGCCAGTTTAAAAAATTTCAGTAAAAACATATGTATTCTAATCATAGTCATGTTTATAAATATCAATAGCATGATTATGTCCATTAGGTAACAACAGCATAGTTTAAGACAGGGACATCTGCTTCATATTTTCTAGACATTTAATTAAGTAGTCAAAATTAATGATTTTTTAAATGTGTATCAGTTACAGGAAAATCAATGTCTGTTTATATCTTTGTTCCTCTACCCCTGAATAGTATTATCAATCTTATGTTCTTTCTTACAAAGGAATTCAAAGACTATAACTTAATCAAGAAAGTAACTGTCACAGCTGAGCCAGTAACTTAAACTTAACAAGTATATTTTATGAATGTCAGACATAATCCCCTTCGGACAAAATCCCCTTCGCATACCCGGACAAAATCCCCTTCATGGGTGGACATATTCCCCTTCATGTTTTTGCAAGGCTGGACAAAATCCCCTTCACTACCCGGACAAAATCCCCTTGTTTCATAGGTTTCTAATGTATTATTATGCTCCATAAAAATTGATGAATAATGAACTTTTGTTTTTTTATTTATAATTATGTATCAAGTTAACCTTTATTTAGTTTAGAAGTTTTCATTAAAATTATTATTTATTTAAAACAATTCTTATAATTTCAAAAATTACAGTTACCATATTTTATGACTCTACCCTGATATAGACACTGGGGTCTAAACCAGGTGTGTATATGAGGTTCATCCCGTTTTCTTTAGTTTACTAGAAACAACTTTCACTCCTCAAATGCACAAAGGGGTCTTATTCTGGAGATTGTTCATTTTATATAATGAAAAGTAAACTTACCTTGTTGTTTGCCTAGAAATCTGAGGGCAGCTATTTCAGAATAAGTACATCCACCAATAAAATATACAAGAACCACTGGTGCAGGACGACCTGGCTGATTAGTCATTCCCTTTATACCTGTGAAAATATTAGGATATTAGAATTTCACAAGGGCTGTCAATACACACCTGACTAACTCACAGGTACCAGTTTAAGGTGATAACAATGCCTTTGAAGATTTTTTTTTGCTACACAGTTATCCGAGAGCCTGACATTCCCACTTGTTGAAAAAGACAGTGATTGATATTGTTTTTTTTCTTGCATACTATTTAGAGTTCAAAATGAAATAACAAAAGCTTATATTTCTTTCTTGTAACAACATATGAATTTACAATTTAATTCATATTAGCAAAATTGGGTTATTTTAATCACACAATTTATGCATTAAAGTGAATGTCATCATTTTAAAGCACACAACCCATCCTACGATATTTTTACAGTACCAGTGCACACACTAGGTAATCTGAAACTCCAGTTCTGAGTGTCTCCCATTCAAGTCCCATTCACATTTTTCTCACCTTGTGACACATGTCATATCAACTGCTAGTGCAGCCAAGTTTTAATATCATCGGTCAAAACATTCTTTATTCTGAAACAAGTCTAGTCTATTTTTGGAAAGACCTATATTCAGCATCTACTTAATTAAAATAAAATTACTGACCTTTACCAGGTGTTCTCAGTTTAACATCAGCGTGAACACTTCCAGGTATATGTTTAGTTATCTCCTCCATCCCGCTAAAACCTTCTCTCTGTAACACCTGTAATATATAAGACACAGCATGTCACACAGTGTTAACGCTTGTCTGTTTTTACAAATTCTAAGTAAAAAAGGGGCATTACTCCAAAAATTCAAAGCTATGTCCCTTGTCTAAGAACTGTGCCTTGTCATGATAAGCACGAATTCCACGTTTCATCTTGATGACTTTAAAAAAATATTTTAATATGTTTGTATAATGGGCTACATTAAAGTATTTAATGACCCCACAGCGATCATATTAGCCCAACATTTGCTTTGAAACAGACACTCAAAAAATGAATCATCTGAACAGGTACAACACCTGCAATTAAAACTAATGAGGCTAAGAAAAACATTTATTTAAATAAATGCTAATCTTTAGCCACCTTAACATACCCATCTGAAAAAATACAAAAGGGCCAAGATGTGACTTACTGCTGAGATCCAGAGTGAAAACTACAAACACCACCACCAGAACTCTCTGTCTTATATGAGAAGTCTTAATTAGCTGGTCCCAATACATGATTAATTTTCAGTGACCAGAACCACATGGCCATAGATTCAACAAAGTTTATAACCTTGACTTTTGATTGGAAAACCTGATAAAATCTTGGTATAAGGAACGTTCTTACCTGTTCAACAAGTTTACATGACAGAGGTGCGTAGGCTCCACTAAACACATATGACATATCACAAGGGCTTCGTAAATCCACATCAACTGAGGGTATCTGTAAATATAATTTCATTTATAGATACTTTTCTTGGCCTAAAATGTTTTAGCATTTGTGTTTAAAACAAGCAAATTCGTTGAATTTATATCCCCTGCCGAGTACTGGTTATTACTAACACAACAACTGAAGACATAAGGCTTTATTTATATATTTATCATGGCATAAACAGTAATATTCTTTGAACTTGATAAATATTCAGGGCAATAACAGAGCCATAACTCTGTGTTAAATAATAATATCTGGAAATGCCAATGAGATGTATCCTACTGCATAACTAATCAAGGGCCATAAATCTGAGTTATAAGTGTCTGACTGGAACAAGGCGACTATATGCACATCTCCTCTTTGTATCCCATAAAGTTTCATTGAATTCCAAGGCAACAAGGCAACGATATGCGCATCTCCTGTTGGTATTGAAGGTTCCAATAAAGTTTCATTGAATTCCAGCCAGTAGTTGCAGAGAAGTAGCGCAGAAACAAATATTTTTCTATATGCATACTGCATGAGTTATCAAGGGCCATAACTCAAAGTAAAAATGTCTGACCCAAACAAGCCGACGATATGCGCATCTTCTCTTGGTCTTGAAGATTCCCATAAAGTTTTGTTGAATTCCAACCAGTAGTTGCAGAGAAGTAGCGTGGAAACGATTTTTGCTCTATATGTATACTGCATAACTAATCAAGAGCCATAACTCTGAGTTAAAGTGTCTGACCCAAACAAGGTGACGATATGCGCATCTCCTCTTGGTATTGAAGGTTCTCATAAAGTTTTGTTGAATTCCAGCCAGTAGTTGCAGAGAAGTAGCGCGGAAATGATTTTTGCTCTATATGCATACTGCACAACTAATCAAGGGCCATAACTCTGAATTAAAGTGTCTGACCCAAACAAGGTGACGACATGCGCATCTCCTCTTGGTATTGAAGGTTCCCATAAAGTTTTGTTGAATTCCAGCCAGTAGTTGCAGAGAAGTAGTGCGGAAACGATTTTTACTATATATGCATACTGCATAACTAATCAAGGGCCATAACTCTGAGTTAAAGTGTCGGACCGGAACAAGCAGACGATATGCGCATTTCCTCTTGATATTGATGATTCCCATAAAGTTTCGTTGAATTCCAGCCAGTAGTTGCAGAGAACTACTCCGGAAACGAAATTCGCACGGACGGACAACGCCAAAACTATATCCCCCTCCCGATTCCATCGGCGGGGGATAATAACAGCATTTGTGTGTGTGTGAACATTGATGATTTTCCCAGAATAGATGTAGTTCTGATCTTGCTTTATTTTCTTTAAATAATATTCACATAAAGACACAATGGTATTTTAAGCCAAAAATATGGCCCTTCTTGAAATTTTTAGTTGTAAGTCATTATAGCATGAAAATTTATAACTTTAAAATTTAAATAAGTGCCATCAAAGGGACATTCATCTTAAGTAGGGGTCAAAAGAGCCAATGGACCTTTTGCATAAACCAGGTCAACCATTAACTATGTATTATCCCGGAGTAGCAATAAGATTGAATGAAACTGTTAACACTCAAAAGGTCCATACATTTTGGCCTTGAAGGCATTTAAAAATTAACACCCCTCAGGAAAAAAGTGCTTGCTATATACTCACATAAGCGAGTTTAAATTCTCAATGAGTACTTTTTACATTTACAATACCAAAACATTATCCCCATACTTTTACCTACCAAATTAAGTCTTTTACGAATATTTTTAAAGGAACTGTTCCTAGTTAAGGCAGCAACACCAGCTGACACCCGGGACTGAGAAGACACTTCCTGTTCCCTTAGCAACCCAACTTTCTTTAAATTATGGAATGTTATCAGTTGCTCAAACCCATGACTCTGAAAATAATAAGACATAAATAGCTTGATTCATGTTGAGTTATAATTGATTTATGCAATCCTGTCGGAAAAAATTCAACCACAGACAGATCATTTTAACATTAACTGTATCCTTTTACCATAATATTAAATCAGACTAATGATTAAACTATTGTACCTAAGTTAAGGTAAACTTTCAGATCATGCATGAAACAGCAATTCTGTGATAACGATTAAGAAATAACTAAGTATATAGAACTAAAAGATAACAAAGATACTGTTAAGAATTACAGTATTACCTGAACAAATTGTGTTTTCAGCGACTTGTAATCTCTTGCTGGAATGCCATCGTTTGTTAAAGACGTCAAACACATTAATTTTAAGTTTGACATTAAAGAATTCTGTAAATAAGGAAATAAAGTTATTCATTTTACTTTCATTAAAACATTTACATCTATAGCTGTATAAATGACAGGACTGGAAAAAGGACTCTATTCAGACTTTGCGAATGCTGCTAGATTCTGATTTCTATTTAGCATTTTTACTTCCAGAATTGGTACTTACAAATTTTTATGAGAAAACTTAAAAAATTTAGTTAGTTCAAAATATCATGCACTCTTGAATTTACATCCTAAATGGAAAAGTATATAGTAACTGTACTTGGTGTAGCTAGAATTTTGACTCGTATCAATTTTTGGTCATTGTACCACAAGATGGTTTTTCAAATTAATGTAAATTTTTTTAAAAGCATAGAATTAAATTGATATACCTGTTTGTTTATACTTTCTTCAATATAATTTAAGTTTTCTCGCAATGCTGTACCCTCTAACAGACCTAGAATATATAAATAACAGTAAAGGTTCTACAGATGTGTAGTCATCCAATAGAATTCAGTATTTTACACCACAATGTATAATTACCTGATAATCTCATACTGATTTTGGAATAATAATAATCACATATGAAAGCTCAACATATACTTGTATTACACTGTCAATATTTTCATCAAAATAGAAACTGCAAAGCTGTAAAGTTTGTCATGCTAATCCTGCTAAGCTTGTCATTGATGTTGAAATACTTGGTCTACAGTCATATTGACAGATTTCAAAATTACAAATCATGTCCATGGGGTAAATGTTTGGAACTATTTAGCTCTTCTGTCAACAAGTGTGAAACCACTTTATACCCTGCCCTTTGTTACTTGACTTAAATACAGGAAGAATTCAAATTTTTTATCCTTATTTACTCATCGGCTTTTAAGTCATACCCTCTTAGGTTTGGCTTTATTGGTAAAGGATGACCTTAGATGCTCTTTTGTGCATTATTTACAGCATCAGTGGACACATGAATAGAACCACTGACCATACTAGCTTCTTCTCAAAAAAAAAAAAATGCAAAGTTTCTGGCTAGATTTAAATCTACAGAAGTGAGGGGCAAGGAGTTATAGCTAGCATCCTAAAACACTCTGTCCAGGAGACCACCAGAAATATATAAATAAGCTCCATTTTCACAATTTAATTTTTTTTGTCTTTTTTTGTTAATTTTGTTTGGTATATGGCACACCAACAAAATGTAATATTTGAGTTTTTGATTGTTTTGTTTGGTTTTTGCACAGCACCAACATAATTTTGGTCATAAAGTGTGAAATAGGAAAGATGATTTTGGCTAACCTCCGTGCTACAAACTTAAAGGAACACCAGGGGTCAAAACCACCTCACCTGCTGGAGCTAAGAGATTCATAGACTCCAGAAATTCGAACCAATTTAATTCACCTCTTACGATCAAGCAGGGATAAACTGTGGCTGCAATTCTGATGCCTCAACCCTAAAGAGAAACCGTTCAGCCAGAAAGGAGCTGTAAGAATTTAAGCACAGATGCACATATAAATGTTTTCCCTTATGCTACAATAAAAGGGTTAATAAAGGGGAAAATTAAATTTGATTTCCCATTCACTTACTATGCTCTGTTTGCATATACTCTACGAAATCTCCCTTGTTTTTCTTTTGAATAATCTGTTCACATGCTCCAATATCTGAGATAAATAAAACATAAATTGTTTGTAAGACAGTTTATTAACTGCAATGGGAGAGTTTAATAATAGGAAGAAATTATTTTCCTTATCAAAACCTGCTCTAGACTTTGGCTTCTGTTTTTTCTAAACAAACTTGTATTTCAATCAATAATAATCTATCCAGGGACTGAACAAAATACACAAAAAATAAAAAATAATATATTCAGTATTTTACATTGCTTGATATTAAATTTCATTATTTTTGACATCTGAGACATTTGACCTATAAAGCAATAAAGTAAAAGACTGCAAAATAGTATTTTGGAGTAAATACCACATAAAATTCATCAGATATTATAAGTTACATATAAAAGTTGTCAACAACAAATGTATGATAATTGAAAACCTCCTTTCTGAAAAGAAGTAGATATATACAAGACACAAGTTCAAACCCCAATGTGGGATTTTTTCTTCATTTTTTTTCTTCTTTAAATAAGGAATTTTTTTAGACTGTTAAACGTCAATAATGCCAAAGAAATGCTTTTAGTTTTATTTCTTGAAAGCTTCTAATTATTACCATACTTGTATAGTTTCTAAAAAGTTACTCAATGGCCAATTACCTGAACCATCTATTCCTTCTGTTGGTTTTTGGCAATTAGTACAGTTAGTGATTAGTGATTCAGTATTTTGTATGGGAGTCAAATTACATTTTTGTTTACATTTTGTTACGTTTAGGATAAATTATTTCACAATATTAGCGCTACATTTTTTTTAGGTAACAAGCATCTAACATGTGTAAAACCATTATTTGAAGGTTATAAAATCCATGTTTGCCCTTTCTAAAGTTAAGACGTAAAAATTTATTTGTTTCTGAGGCATAATGTGCCTTTAAGGTCTGTTAAAATTTTTACATAAATAACATTATAGCTTACGGTATGTGAGGTTAGCCTTTGACTGGTTCAGTTTTCTCAAATCATTTGCCACAAAGTCTTTCATATCCTTAACTTTTGTAAACTCTTTTCTTTTCTGTAACAACAAAGATCACATTAGTGCAATTTTACCTTATTCTTCTTATTTAAAAGTTCTACACCGAGTACATTTTAATCATTGATATACGTAAAATGAATTTTTTTTCACATTCAGTCACCTTAGTGCAGTAATGGGTTTACTAACTCCTATTAAATTATATCAGGAGTGAACCTGTTACTACACTATGGTGACAAAATATTGCAGTATCAACCTGTCATTTTTGTACAATTTGTGCTACTTTTCATTTTTCACTCTTTCTCTTCTTATAAGACTAGTGATGTTTATAAAACTTTTTCTTTTGCCATAACCAATGTTCATCAAATTAAGAAATTTTTGAAAATTGGAAGAGGAAGACTTTAACCCACACAAATATTTATTAAAATTGTACTCATTGTCAGAGACACCAAAACAGAACACTCATTAAAAAGATGAAATAATAATGTATTGCAAAGGCCAAGAAGCATGTATGTGTTTATGACATTACAGAATACACAGTAGTGTTTTTTTGTTGTTTTTTTTTGGGGTGTGGGGTGTGGGTAAACCGTTTTACTTAGCACCGGCACAGTATAAGTCATATGGAAACTTTCCAGCTTTACTGGAGTAAGACATCAGATGCCCTTTCGTGCATTATTTCAGGCACAAACGGATACATGAGTGAGTAGAACCACATTCCATAAGCTAGCTGGATAGCTTCCTGACATGAAAAATTCCAAAGTCCTTGTCTCCGGATTCGAACCCACAGCTAGAGGGACATGTGGTTTCAAGTCAAGGAGCTTAACCAGATGCCCTGATGTTTTCAGTCAATGAATTATGTATTGTATGGTTATACATACATCAGACAATGACTGTAGATCCTGGGCTTTACTTTTAAGAAAATCAAACACATTGGTAAAGTGGCGGCATCGTATAGCTTCGTACATCTGAAATACAAATCATATTCTTAAAATAGAGTTATAATTTAGTTGATCATTTTGCAATATCAAAAAGTAAATATTTCATTAACCCTTAACCTGCTGAAATTTTTACATGAACTTGTCTAGCTTCCATTTTTGGACCAGTTTATTATCAACTTTGGGGATATTGGAGATTGAAATTTGAAATTGATCAGCCAACAGTATATAGCCTGATCAGATTGCACAGACATGCAGGCTGGCCTGGCTCTATACTGGTGGCAAACAGTGTTCCCATTTACGCACATATGTGCGTATTTTACGCATAAATGCCAAAATTCACGTACAGAAATATAGGCAAGAGGGTAAAAATACGCACAGAAAGTCGGAAACTTAATCATGTATAATTCAAAATTTATTCTTTTGAGCAATTTCTCAAAACAGAAATCACTTAAAAAGCATTGAAATTGATGAAATGCAAAAAAATCTCCCAATTCACAATGAAGTTTACAAACCCCCCACTGGGAATTATTGCCGTAAATTACAACTTTGAAATTTTTGTTTTACGATGCCTATAAGAATAGCCGATGAAAAACATTCTTGAAATATTAAAAAAATATTAATTCTAATATAATTGTAATCAGCAACAACTGGAATTGAGAATGTTTTTGCAGAAAACAGACAAATTTTCATTTGTCACATATTTTCGCGATGCCCATTTTGTTAATTAAAAACATCATAAAAAAAGGAAGCTTTGTTTTGTTCAAAAGTGTGTTGTAACAATTTATATGCTGTTTATGAATTAAAATAACTTAAATAATGGTTACATTAATTGAGATGGAGATATATGCCAGTATGTGTTCAATGTTGGTCACAAAGGTAGGGGGAGGGGGTGGAGTGAATCTTGAAGAAACAGCATAATTGTCTCACAGTCTGATGTATGGTTTTGGAATTATCCTTTAATTTCATATAAATATTGTACAAATTTATGTCCCCCCAGAATTTTTATTTTACCCCCAGTTTTTAAAGGTAAGGGGTAAAAATACCCCCAATGAAAAATAGAAGTGGGAACACTGGGCAAAGGCTTAGCACACTTGGTTTCAGCAGGGCTAGAGTTAAATGTAGTATTAATCTTTTTGTTTACTTATCAAGTAATCTTTGTTTGAGAGATTTTCTGCTTATAAAATTAAGTTTCCTCCAAAAAACCCCTTTTGCAGAATTTTCAACAGGCTGGTCAATTGGAAAATAACTAAATTCAAATCAATCAGTACAAACACATTTGTCTAATTAAATTTACATCGACTGCATAATGATAAATAGAAATAAAACATAAGTTCTGATTGCTGAACTATAAATCAAGCTTTTTTATCATTTTTATACTGTAATTTAAGAAAACTAAAATTCTAAACATCAGGAACTTTTAACCATGTTTATGTATCTGAACATAGCTTACCTCGTCTTCACTATTAAGTCTGACCTTGACCGGTTGATCTTTCTGGGTAATGTCTTTTCCAAACTCGACACAACCGCACTGTATACCAAACATGTCGTCCAGGAGACCCTCGTATGTTACTTGCGAACATAATGGTGTCACGAAATCTACACCTGAAACCAAAAATTATATCAAGATTACAATGACGGGTTTCTGAACTACCTGGTCCCTTACAAAGCTGTAATGGACTTTCCCTGCTTTGAATATGGAACATTCAAATGGAAGTGAAACGAATTCTATGCTCCTATTTGGGTAAAATACTTTTATTGCAGAAATGTACTAAGATAATAATAATAATAATAATAATATCTTTATTTAAAGAAGGTTACACATTAAGAACATACAATAACAATCATATATATCTTATTTCCAATGTGGCCTTCTGAAAAAGAAAACAACAACAACAACAACAACAACAGGATATGCATAGTTAGAAAAATGAATGTATAATATGTAATTTTTACAATAATACAACTCATATACTTTCGACAGACACTCAACAATTTGTTTAAACATATACGTATATTGCATCATTCGTTCGTTCATTCATATATTTATTCATTCATTCATTCACTCATATGAACATCAAGATATGCTTAGTATTTTTCTTTAAAACATTTAAGGTTATTAACATTACGAATATTTAAAGGTATATTGTTCCAAATGTTCATGCCATAATAAGAAAATGTGTCTTTAATATAATTTGTTTTAGGTCTTGTCCATAATACAATATCTTTTCGTGACCTAGATCTTAAGTTATATATTTTGTTGTCGGATAAAGTCATCAGTTCTGTCATATAAGTAGGTGCCATGCTATTTAAAGTTTTAAAAACAAGCACCGCCGTGTGGTATTTACATCTGTCAAGGAACGGTAACCAATTAAGAGTTTCGAATAGATTTATTGATGGAGATCTTTGAGGTTGCTGTAAAATGATTTTAGCAATTCGTTTTTGTAACTTACAAACATTATTTATGTAGTTTGTGTTTCCTTTACCCCATATAATACAACAATAGTCCATAATGGGCAATATATATGCATTGTAAAACAATAATTTCATATCAAAGTGCAAAAAATACGATATTTTTTTCAATAAGGCAATTTTTCCGTTAAGTTTTTTACAAACATTGTCAATTTGCAAGTGCCATTTTAAGTTGTTATCTATGCAAATACCCAAGACTTTTTGATCAGTTACATTTTCAAGAGCTATTTCATTTATCTTAAGAATTAATTTTCTCATAATATTTACTTTTTGTCTTGTTCCTATTACCATACATTTTGATTTATCTGGATTTAAGGCCATATTATTTATTTTGCACCATTTGTCAATGTTATTTAAATGATCTTGAAGTTTGATTTCTACTTTTGATATATTTTCTCCGGACTCATAAAGAGTAGAATCATCTGCGTATAAATCAATTTTTATATCATTACCTATGAAAGCTATGTCATTTATGTATATTAGAAATAATAAAGGTCCTAATATTGAGCCTTGTGGAACACCGGAAATTATTTTCATTGGCTGAGATTGAAGATTACCTATCTTAACCAGTTGTATTCTGTTAGAAAGATATGACTTAAAAAACTTAACGGCATTTTCAGAAAAATGATAAAGTTTAAGTTTGTGCAAAAGTATTTCATGGTCAACCAAATCAAAGACTTTCTTTAAGTCTAAGAATACAGTCCCGAAAATTTTTCCACTGTCAACATCTTTTAACCAAGTATCTATTAAACTAATGAGTGCAGTATTACATGAATGATTTTTACGAAATCCTGATTGTTTATTATGAATTATGTTCGTTTTTTCAAAGAATGAGTGCATTTGTTTGGCAATATGGCGCTCAAATATTTTGGATATAGTTGACAAAATTGATATCGGTCGATAGTTATTTGCTTTGATTTAAAAATAGGTATAACTCGAGCTCTTTTTAAATCATCTGGGAAAATATTAGATTTAATACTATTATTGATAATTGATGCAATTATTGGTGTAATATAATCTCCACAATATTTGATGATGTTTGGTCCAATTCCATCTAATCCTGTAGATTTTTTAATATTCAGTTTTTCAATAATAAGTTTTACTTCAAACGGTGTAATTAATTCAATATTAAATTCATGATATATTAGCTTTTGGTCTAAAGTTTCTTTTAATTTTGAAAAATTTGTATTTGAAAACTTTGTTTTATGTATGACATTCGAGATATTGACAAAATACTTGTTTAATTCATTTATAATATTTACAGTTCCGTAAATTTCTTTATTACCTGTCACTAGTCTGTCTGGCATTGTAATACAACCTTTTTTATTTAGATTTGAAACGTCCTTTAAATTTTTCCATAAAAATGCCGGGTCTTTGTTATTTTTAATAGCATTGTTAAAGAAATCTCTTTTACTTTTTTTAATCATTGATGTTATTTTATTTCTGAGCAATTTGTATTGTTCATGTTTCCCTACTTTATGATAGTAATCGCGTTCATGTATAAGATATTTTATCTCATCAGTAAACCATTCCGGGCGGTGTTCACGTTTGATACGTTTTTCTTTTATTGGTGCATGTTTTTTCAAGATAGTATTTAAAATGGAGTAAAATAAGCTAAGGGATTCATTCGGATTAATTATGTGCTCGACTAATTCAAGATCGGATAAAGCAAGGTCTACCTGAAAATCAATTTCATTGAAGTTTTTAAAACATCTATATTTAATCGAATTATGTTCATTCGGGTACATGCTTTCATTGATCTTGAAATATCTATCGGATAATGATCACTTAATGAGGTATCAGAAACAAACGATTCAATAATATAATTATATCTGCTACTGTTTGTATAAACATGATCTATAATTTTTTGGGTACGTTTTGTTATCCTAGTAGGATCTGTGATAAGTTGTTTCAAACTATATTTTGTTATCAAATCACCCCATTTTGTATTGTCATATTTTTTCTTTTTATTCATTGGATAAAAGTTTATATTGACATCTCCTAGAATATGATATTCTATATTTGATATATCTATTATACTTAGTTGTTTTTCATAATCGTCAATCCAAGATTGGTGTACATTTGGTGGGCGATATATAAAATTTAAAAGAAAAGGTTTGCAATTTGGGTAAATAATTTCCAACCAAACAGATTCTAATTCGTCCGTTTCTATATCGTAACGGCGCCGATATGGCACCTTGTCAGCAATATATATTACAACTCCCCCGCCTTTGTGACAACTTTTACGGTCCTTTCTTTCGTGTGTGAAATTGTTAATATTTAATTCATCGTCTGTTGTATCATCACCAAGAAATGTCTCAGTAAACCCGAAAATATCTGGCGAATTTAATTTGTTTAATAGATTGTATTTTATTTCGTCTATTTTAGGCATTAAGTGATTAACGTTAAGGTGTGCAATATGTAAACCTCGTTTTTCAAACTTAGAATTGAACAATTTATTATCAGGAAAATTTGATTTATGGAGCGTAACATTATTTAGTACTTTGCAATTATATTCATCATTTCCGTATTTATTGTATGGCACTGATTGTTCAAAAGTAACAATTTGATTACCAGATGCAATAGTGTCTAATAATTTTCGTTCTTTTACTATCAAATCGATAATTTTTCGCGTATTTAAACATATGTGTAAAATATCAATTGTGGAATACAACATAAAATCGTAACATACATTATAAATTAATATATTAGTTTGAAAATCGCTATAAAGATCTTGTTTGAATATAGATTTATAAGTAGTTACCTTACTATAAGTACAACTGTATATTTCAAATTGCTGATTTTCAAAATTTGAGTGCCTGTCGGATATTTCCTAATAAGATCTCGTACATTCTTCCTGAATATGTCTAACTTGAATAAATGAATGAATAAACAATGTTTGGGAAGCTGCATTCCCTATTACTTGTCAAATTAATTTGGTCTATTCTACTAAAAACTGCCAGTTTTTGTAATGTCTATACAATTAAACTGTGATTACATGTAGTATGTAGAGTTTAAAACATAACATATTTTCTCTGTGTGTATTCAAAAGATGTTTATTTTACATTTCTTAAAAGACTGTACAGTATTTATCAGTTTTTTCAAATATCAGATTTGAGCATAATATATCTTTAAGGGATTCTAGATGTTGATACCGCACATGTATGCAACACCGTCATCTTAACAAGGAGTTTTATGATATATGGAAATTTTATGCAATTAAAATTCATGCCAGAAATATGTGTGTAAATGTGACTCAAAATACTTATAATGATCTAAAAAATTTGAGAATATTTGAGACTTGCGAATCTTACTACCCTAAATGGACTTGTTGATCTTTCGATTTAGACAAAATCATTTGTCATTTTTAAGAAAATCTTAAAATATGTACTGACTGAATAGCAAATCTCGCAAACCATGATTAGATGGTAGAAACAGTCAGCTCATAATTAGAATAGAACTAAGTTAACAGAAGGGTATCAAAATCAGTTATGGTACTTGGTTTTAAAATAATGAATTGTTTTTTTTAGCAAACATTTTCAGTGGTAAATGAGTCAAATTACATGGAACACCTAAACTGCAAATGCTAGGATGAGTAAAATAACCACACTATTCATCAAATTGTCCAACTTATCATACAATGTCTATCTAATGGCAACAATGTCATATTTAAGGGCGATATACATATTTTTGAATGATCACTGTTATTAAACTTTACTGGAATAAACTATAGCTAAAAATCTTGTAAAGCATTACCTCTATCAATGAGAAACAAATGTCCTATCTCTGATCGTGGATAATCTGGCTGTATCAGTCGTTCTCCAGTCATCTGCTTCAATAACTCGTAACACATCTAAAACAGTGAGACACATAGACTCTCAGACACAATTGTAACTATATTCTTAACTATGCTGGTTATATGAATTTCAATTGCTATCACCTTTGGTATGTTATGTCATGAAATTAATAATGTTAGTGCTACTTATAGATATGTGCAGAAAAAAGGAAAAGAAGATAACTCTGATCACATAATAGTTGCCGACAAATTTGGGAACTATTTATTATGGTTAATTTATTCAATTATGAACTACTAATTGAAGTACCAAATACCAAAATGCCACAACGGCCCTAGGCTACTTAAATACTGAAGGAACTAGCAATGTCAAGGACACAGAAGCCCTGACATTCTCCTGTCTACTGAACACAGAGTGCACAGTGTGACGGAAAAGACAAACCTATATAGCCTTTTCCCATTTAGTTGAGGCATAAAAATGTTTAGATATTAGAATGGGGAGACTGCTTGTACAACATCACAGAGTAATGACCTTTTTTTTATACTTGTTGGTTAGTGCTATAACATTGGTATTTTAAAGGTCAGCAACAAAGGTTGGGTTGCGCAAAACACTTAACCCAAAATTGTGGCACTGACGCTTGGGCGAAAGAAGAAATTCAGGTCATGCTGACTGTCTACTTTATAAATGACTTTAAAGTAGTTAAAATAATCAAATTATAATTGGTTACAAACCTTTCCAGCACGTCCGAGACAGTACACATTGGGTATTTCTCCTGTAATTCCTTGTATTGTATGAACAGATTTACTCACTGTCTGTAGTAACGTCAGGTCACTATCCTGTAAATGCATGGGTGAAAAATATTTATAATATCTGATGTTATCATTTTGGTTGGGTTGAATTGAATTTCTTTACCTGTGTGGTCAAGGATTACCTACGAAGGTTCAAGCTCTTATTTCCAGTAGGGTCCTTACCTCAGAAGACTCCAGAGACAGCTATGAAATACAGGGGAATCCTGGAACCAGCCCCTACTTCTTATTGAATCTTTTACATGCCCAGTGTATAGCACTGATACTACAAGGATTAAAAGTAACACTGCCATTGTAAAGCTCATTATGGTGATCTTAACTGATAAAAGCTGACTGTAGCAGTGTCACAACTAATAAATTCAGTCACAAGCTAGAACCATAGTAGAACCAGAGACCCTCTGTAAGTCTCCTGCACAGCTTCATCCCATGAAAGAATTCTTAGTCCCTGGCAGGACTTGTACATACAGTTATAAGGAAAGAAAGATTTGAAGGCAGTGCACTAAATCGCTCAGCCAAAGGAGACTCCCAAAAGATTTGAATGTTTGCAATTTCATACAGAATGTAATCTAAATTCTAACACTATAATAGATTTTGCAGAATTTGTTCACAAAATAAGTAAAAAAAAAACATATCTTTTAAAAACACTTGCTTTGCACTGAAACCAAAAATCAATTGATTGAAATTTAGATAAATGCCAGACAAAACGGTCATGTTGTGACAGTAAAGCCTTAACTGGTTAAGGAAAACCCGAAGTGCCGATCCATGCAGCACCTTCAAGCAGTTAAAACCACAATTCTAACAAAGCTAAAGATTTACCAGGTAAAAAGACTTGAAGAATTCTGGCGTTTCCATGGAGAGTATATCTGTATCCAATGGCAACAGGTTAAGGTCGACTTCATCAAGGTCACAGTGTCCCAGCACTCCTTCCTGTTCTAATATCATCTCACACAGAAATAACTAAATAAATGAAGAAACGAGGAATTAACCTAAACAACAATAGTTCAATTGGAAATCATAGAACTATTTTGTTCATTCATTTTAAACTCAATAACACAAATATAACATTTTACATGTGATGAAAAATATGGCCTAATCACAAAAATTAAACATTTACATGAAATTAGTTTGCCCATTTACGTACTCTTGCAAAATTTGCATGCAGTGGTTTTTCTCACTTAAGAAGAGACCTTAGCCTCCTGATTTTGGGAAAATTTATCTCTAAAACTGCTGCTTTGGGAAGTAAAAAGCTGACCAGTGTAAGTTCAGATTTTTGGAAAAACTGCATGATTTTAAAGAAATATTCAATATGGAAAAGGCCTTTTATGAGCCTTTGTTATATAAAGAGGAAAATCACTGATACATGTTAAATTGACAAGCTCTTATGCAGACAAAAGCAGACCTTGATTTTAAATATATTTCTAGTTTTGTGTTGAAGTTTAAAAACTCACCCGTCTTGGCACCATTACAATTCTGTATTTTCTATTCTCGCCTCGTGACTGCTCGCTTGATATATGATCAGCTATAATCTTCATAATGTTTATCTTCGGCCTCACCAAATACACGCGCCTGTAATGAACAAAAGGAAGCATTAGTGTATCTGCAGTATTATCAGAATTATTTTGATTTACCCTTCATTTGTACACTTTATACATTTCTATTCAAGTTTTCACATAATTCATCTAGAGACATGCTGCCCAAAAATCAACCTTAGTAAAATTCCCACTCACTATAGTGCTGGGAAAATAAAGAACAAATTCTAATCTACCCCTTCCTATTTATGTTTTCTATACAGTTGTACTTCATTGTATGTAAGAAAATTAATTTTCCATATTAATTATTTTCAGAGAACAAACTATGTTTATGCCAAAAAATGCTTTCAGAAAACTATGCCAACTATTCACCTGTCACATCCAACTAATTTTATCTGTTTGTCCGCTCTGTCCAGTTTGAAAATTTTATCAACACCATTATCCTAAAAATACAAAAGTTATATATAGATTTAGATACAAAATAAATACAAGTTACTGAAGGCAGGAACATTTACAGTCACTTTCAAGTTTCCTCACTGACTTTTATAACTTTTCTCACGCAGATTATTTATAACATTCAGAGACAATAAAAAAAAAATTTCATATCTGATCAAGAAACCATTTTTTCTATCTTTAATAAAGGTGACCTTGACCCCAGGGGGTCCAAATGCAATACCAGCCAGGGTCTTCATATAAGCTTGCTATATATTAAGTTTGATTACAATATCTCATTCCTATTGTCCGGAAACCATTTTTCTATTTTTAGTAACACTGTAACAGTGACCTTGACCCAAGGGGGTCCAAATGCAATACCAACCCGAGTCTTCATATAAGCTTGCTATACACGAAGTTTGATTACAATATCTCATTCCTAACTCTAGTTATTGTTTGGAAACCATTTTTCTATTTTTAGTAATGTTGACCCCAGGAGGTCCAATTGCAATACAAACTGGGGTATTCATATAAGCTTGCTATACACAAAGTTTGATTACAAAATCTTATTCTTAACTCTAGTTTTTGTCCGGAAACCATTTTTCTTCTATTTTTAGTAACGGTGACCTTGACACCAAGGGGTCCAAATGCAATACCAACCAGGGTCTCCACATATGGTTGCTATATACCAGGTTTGATTACAATACCTCATTCCAAACTCTAGTTAAAGTCCAGAAAAAAAGATGTAGACCGACCGATGGACAAGCTGACTCCTATATACCCCCCTAAACTTCGTTTGTGGGGGTATAATAATCAAAACTCTTAAAAACCATGCCACCTTAGCAAATTCATGTAAACTTGCCATTTGTGTTCAGGAGAGGTAAAAAGTTTCCAGAACCTTCTATATTCTTACGCGACTTTACATGCTACCTGAGGGTCCTGCCTCTCAGTGCCTGGACCTCATTTAGCCTAGAATACATGCTTTGTTTTGGTAGCATGTATACTGCACACATTTGCACACAAGTTTTATCCTTCCTTTGTACATACTACAGAAGTAATTGCTTAATCATAAAAATCTAAACATAGCTTAATAACTATTTCTTACAAGTTCTCACCTTTAGGAAAGCAGCTCCTCCTGTGATTCTATCTAATGGTTTCATTAAGTCAGGATCTAGCACCAAATCTTTTCTTCCCTGAAACTATATAAATATAATTATATTTCAACTTTTAAGACAGTTGTCACAGAGGCATTTTGCCTTTAACAAATTCTTTTCCCTTGTAAAAGTTGTATGCCTTAATTAAAAATTCCACTCATCTGCTCATACTTACGAGTAGAATTAAAGAGAAAGTGATGCAGGACGAGTAGAAAATTGTTGCCTGCATATTGGATTAAGAAGCTACTCGAGAGACTGAAAATGTTTTTTGATGCCCCCACCCTCCAATTTAATACATCTATAACTTACATTTGTGAATTAAGCACGTCTTTGACTAGGGTGATCCAATCAACACTTGGTGTAGACTAATGCTCGACACAGATATAATGATTTAAAGAACATCTTACAAGAAATTTTTAAAAAAATTTTGCGTTTGGTTAAAGTGACATTATGCTCACATTTTCATTGGCAAGTTGAGCTGAACTGACAATATATTTCAAAATATTGACTGTTAAAATGGTGATCGACCAACTGTTCATATTTGAAATGTTTAGGATAAAATTTAAATCTGCCTATAAAAAAGTATATATATAAAGACTGCCCCATCTTTTTTATGAACTGAATGTTACAGGTAAATTCTAATGGATATTTACAGAAAAACTAATTTGGATCCATGTGTTGTTTATTGTTAATGTGAAATAATTTTTGATATTAAAATGAATTATTTATGGCAAAATAAAAACATATTTTGACTTTCACCTGTTCACTCATTTGGTATTGGTTGGGTATAATGTCACTCTAAAATGTTTACAAATTTTACATTTAAATACACAAAGTTCAAAAAGTAATTTTAATAATAGATTACCTACCATACACCGATCATGGTTTAGTTAGACATAAATGTTCACTGCAATCATTTTCACTTGTTCAATTCATAGCACAAACGATTGTGTTTAATGAAACCATTTTCAGGAATATTAAAAGTGAATAGATTACTCATGAACAGCAGCTTTCCTTTCATAAGATCCATTATCAATAATTGTTTTATCATACCATTTCATTAATTAAAATTTAAGACCGTGGATTAACCACTCTAGATTGTGTTCTCTTTTTATCAGGCTGGTGAAAATGCCCGATCAGGCTTATGACATAAAAATCATATTTCTAGAAAAATAATAAAGATATTTCTTTTAAACTTTGTTCGTTTATTCAGCATAATATATGACCTAAACAGAAAGGAAAAATACTTGGTTACTGTGACTTTTGTGAGAATTATTTCCCCTTTTTCATGTTTATATATTAGTCCTATGAATATGACGTCGCTTTGAGATATTTTTGCTTCTGGGCAAAGCAATGTCATATCGAAATTGCTCAAAAACCCATAGCATGTTCCGCCAGAAAATCGGGCGGAACGAAAAACAATGAAGACAGCGTGTATTTACATAAGTTTTGACCTATTTATGAACAAAACTAAAAAATAAATACCTTTTGTCAAAATAATTAAACTGTCACATCCGAAAAATCATGATTAAATCCCCTCATGTATTTCAATTCTTTTTACAGCCCATAAACAAATGGCGGCCATAAAGTGCGCGAAATCTGATTGGCTAATTCAAATGCAAGCGTTTAACTGAGTCAGAATAATCTAACGGAATATTTTTTTAACGAAATAATTGCACCGTCAGTGTGTTCGAATATATTTTTCCGTTCAAAAATTTGGAATCAATCTGTAAAGCACCTTGCTTAACCAGCATGGCTGATAGACAAAAGTAGATTGATGTTTATATTTTATTTTAAATTGATAAGTACATTGTTTGAGAGTTTTTGTGTATGATTGAGCATGAAATTGAAAGAAAAGAAGATAAGCTTTTGAATAAAGCTTGAAAGGCAAGACAATAGACATTTTTTGATTTTTTTATGATGCTATGCGTTTTTGAGCAATAACTATTAGACGTCAGGCTTGACCGACATAAACTATAACAAGCCTGTAACGTCTAATATATTGGACTAGTTTATATATATGACACTAGTCCTAATTATAAGACCTATACGTAACCTTTTTCATATTTATCATTCATTAATCTGATATTTTACATTTTTCATTTTACATGTTACGTTAGGTCTTAACAGATCTTTGCAAAATCGTGTAGCAAAAAAATTGACATTAGACATCGATTTAGATCTAATGCATTTTAACAATTAAAACAGCGTGTATTTACATAAATTTTGAACTATTTATGAACAAAACTAAAAATTAAATACCTTTCAACAAAATAATTGAACTGTCACACCCGAAAAGTCATGATTTAATCCTCTCATTTAATTAAATTCCATGTACAGCAGATATACAAATGGCCGCCATACAGTGCGCGAAATCTGATTGGCTAATTCAAATGCAAGCGTTTAAATGACTCCAGAAGATTCTAACGGAATATTTTTTCAACGAAATAATTGCCAATGCACCGTCAGTGTGTTCGAAAATATTTTTCCGTTCAAAAAATTGGAATCAATCTGTAAAACGCTTTACTTAACCAGTATGGCTGATGAACGAAATAGCTTGATATTTATATTTTATTTTTAATTAATAAGTACATTGTTTGAAACGTTTTGTTAATGATAGACCATGCAATTGAAAGAACAGAAGATAAGCTTTTGAATAAAGCTTGAAAGGCAAGTCAGCAGACATTTTTTTAATTTTTCAAAATGCTACGCGTTTTTGAGCAATAACTATTAGACGTCAGGCTTGACCAACATAAAACTATAACAAGCCTGTAACGTCTAATCTATTGGACTAATATGACACGTACCTATGACACATAATTTTCAGCCTGTTTATAACTCAGTTTCTACATTGCTACAGTACTGTCTAGTAACATTGAAATATTTGCAAATTTTATGCTTTGACACTTACAAACTTTTTTAAAAATAAAAACCGTTCTGATTGTCAAGACTCTTATTGGTGCGAATCGTAAGTGGGGCGAAATGTCCTGGGGCGAATCCTCAGCGGGGCGGATCGTAACAGATATTTGCTCTGATAAGAGAAATATATTTAAGAAACACTGATTTGAAATGGCGTTTAATGAAATCGTACCTCATTCAGGCATCTCTCGATATCTTGTCTACTCTTCTTATTCAACCGAGTCATATCGGGAAATTTCTCATTTCCCGCTGCAGCCATCTTGGTAATTTGTAGGTTGAAGATCACAATAGCGTTTATAGGTTCGATATCGCTATGTTATTTCAGTGAAAAATCATGGCCCTAAAAATGTATAGCGAACATCAATTTTATAGTAGCGAGTACTTAATTTAAATTGTTATTTGAATTATATTGATTATAACAATACATTGATGGACCTAACCTTACCTGGAACGTTTGGAGGAAGGATCATATAAGACCCTTGAGGTCAGACCGCGTGCATCTGTAGTTTGGTTCCCAAATAGTCAAACTTAAATTGATCAGATCCTATAGTATAGATCTGTCAAAAGAAGATCTGTACGTAGGATCAAATATGACTTTGGACGCACATCCAGTGTTACCCAGTTACTATAGTCTCTTAAATGGCGTCGATTAGATCTTCGTTGTATTGTCTATATAAAGGCTCGATCTTATCCATGTGCATATACAAAATCATTTATGCTATATAGTCGCCATCCTCAAAGAAGGTTATTTTACCCCCATTATGGATAGCATCCCAATATGCCCACACGATAGACATATTATTATAAATTATCATTCCCCCCCCCCCCCCATGACTAATTTTGGGGCCGATCTGACTTGGGGCCGATTTGACTAGTTTGCGTTTCATTGCCCCAATATGACTGTTAGTCAAATTCTCACCATAACAGATTGCAATGTTCACTGCTTTTATTTTTAACAAACCGTTTAAACTTCCCACTGTTTATCTCATATTAAAAATTTGTATCATTGGCTTGCTTTCATTGCAGTCGTTATCGCCTTCTTTTGTTTCAATTTTTCACCTTTCTTAGTGGCTTGTCTACGTCCCCTCGAGGACTTTGCTATAAAGAAATAAATAAATAGATAGGGTCGGACTCATAATCTCATTGTCGTCGGTTCGAATCCCCTCAAATGATGAGATTATCTCTCGACTTTCATAATCCATGTTGGTGCGATCACTTGAACCTTTTGCACCAGAAAGCAGGCAATGACTTAAAGCATGTGTCTAGGTCCCCCAAAATGGGTTTGACATAAATGAGAAAACTAAACAAAAAATAGTTAAAGCCCTAGCCCGCAGCACAAAGCGTGCAAGGGCTTCTGCAGATCTTAACGAACGAAAAAATGCATTTATTTAAGCTCTATTAAGAATACATGTAGGTCTTTGACGTATAGTTTTTATTCAAGAATAGCGCAAATGCACATTTGTTCGTGGCAACACATACAACACTTGAGGATGCAGTACACAGTTTCGGTTGTTTAGTTAAGTTTCGAATTGGCCAGGGTCAAATTTACAAATAAGAGACCATTTTGTAATTGAAGTGGATATTTGAGTTTCTTAATATTAAAAGTTGCTATATTTCAAGTTTCAGAGTATGCAGAAGATTTAAAATAGTGAAAAAAATGCATTTGCCCCGTGTGGATGTTATTTTTAGATAGTGCATTGTTTAAGAAGGAAGAAATACTATAGCTTGTGATTTATTTTAGGGCTTTAATATAATTTTGTCATTTTGCAAATAGGGGTAATCCACTCTTTTTGTCGTTGATTTTCGCGACCAAAACAATGAAAAACTGCCAGAAAACTAGAAGGTGGACATGTATTTTTTATTGTTTACATATGTATATGTTAATTATGAAATACATCTATTTCAGGTGTGTGTTTCAGACTTGGTTTTGATTGTGACGCAGTCAGTCGTTTGCCGAGAAACCTTTAAAATTGTGTATTGCCTCCTGAACTGAGACTATAACTTAAATACATCTTTATGGAATAACTCTTCCTACAATACTTTCTGTTTTATACAAATTAACGTTTCCTCTTGGACATTTTTTTTTATTAAAAAGGCCCAACTGGACTATAAAAGCCAGCAGATGGCGCTAGGGCAGGTTTCTTATTAATTTTATGCATGCTTCACTTCAGGGACCCTTTTTCAATGATTTAAGATTAATTACCAAATGCATTAAAACAACACTTGGCATGTTTGTAGGCATAGATATTTTTGATAAAAATTGACCAAAATTATTCAAAATATAACTTTGTTAAGTGTATTTCTGGAAAAAAGTACTGGCTGTCAAATTTGAAATTTGAATTTCCCTGGGAAGAGCATGTATACACAAGTTTAGAAATCTTCGACTAATCGGGAACTTTTTTCTTTAGGAAAATTAATGCGCCTGTCATTTGACAAACTTTACGCAGTGATCTCCCCTTAATTTTTCGGCGTTAATGTACATATGAAGGGAAGTAACCGCTTCGAGGAGTTTGGACTACTTTCGGTATTTGCAAATAAGAACATCAGGGTCTGAAATTTCGCTACCATTATTTGTTTGGTCTGACGACCCAAACAAATAAAAATGTTTGATTATGATATGCTGAAGATGATTTTAAAAAAAGCAACACACAAGAGTCCTGCATTCAGTGAACTTAATTCTCCCTTGTTGAACTATGTTTTCATAGGTTTTTTTATTCTCTTAGTTTTAAAGATCCAGACGCTTAATGGGAACTAGTTAAAGATATAAGAAATGATGCTGATAATAGTAATTCTGATAGAACAAAAAAAAAAGATCGAGAAAACATTGATTGAGTTCATGGTATTGACTCTAAAAAAACATGAATCCAAAATATAGAGTATAGAAATTCTGTTCTAAGTTTTTCATAATGAGGACATAAAACATAAAAAGTGCTTCGTCTTCAGTTGCATTCATTGCACACATTTTACAAAGTTTTTCTGACACTGAACAAGCCATATTAAAATTGTTATTACTAGTCACTTATTCTGGATTTGGTAATGCACACACCTAACTGCACTCTTAATTAAATCTTCTTTCTTTTTTTAATTAAAAATAAAATACAAATTAAAAACTGTTAACTTGAGATAGTTTTAAAAGAAAGACTCAATGAATTTGTTTGATCTTTTTTTTTTAGATTTTTAGAATATCAAACTACTGCTTTAAAACTCTAGACTTCATTTGTTTATATATATAATTTAGGGAAATCATTATTTTGAACATTTTATTCTTTCTAAGATATATTGAGAATTATTGTTATAAATATTTCATTAGAAACTTTTCTTTTTTGATTACATTTTATGTTTACTTAAAAATCTAACAAGTTAATTAGGTATGTTGATAATTAACATTCTATGTACATGTCGGATAGATATCATAAAGTTTAATAAAATATCAGAAATGCCATCAGCGTAGCATTTAGAAGTGCATTTAACTGAAATTAATGATGCGTGTTGATTGGTCGTTTTTACGATATTATTTAAATTATATGGCTTGTACCTGGTTTAAAATGTTGCGATCAATAGTCAGATTGAAACCTTGATTGTTTTAATAATCCTGTTTTACACGAATTCCGTGAATAATCTAAACTTGTGATTATATGCCACGCAGCAATGACCCATAATCTGAAAATAAATTATGTGTTTAATAATTTTTTCTCGTCTTCATGTGATTTATTCAAAGCGTGGCTCATTCTGCATACATATCATAAACCAGTTTACTATCAACTAATGATGGTCGGTGTTATTTAAACAGAAACAACAACAACAACAACAACATCTTAGAAATATATTTCCGGTGTGCTTAGCTATTTAAAGGCATCATTTTATTTCCCTACGTACAGCTTCATTTCACAATTATGTAGACTATATATGACCTTTACTTCAGTATAAACTGTACCCCGGGAAGATACGCACACACCGGTGCGCACCTGTATGAACATATAGATCGTTAACGTTAGTTTTTTCTCAATATTTGCATTCTTCCATATATTTCGAATAGCAAATTATAGAGTCATCGTGGACCTTTTGTTTTTGTTTTATGACCTGTATTAATTTTTATCGGTTTCCTTTATTATTTTAAGGTAAGCAGACCATTTAACAGTACTAAAACACAAATATCTTGTGACGAAAATAGGTTAATCAATACTTAAGTATAATGAGGAAAGGCAAAACATATATAATAGGCCTATAGTAACTTGTTTTTATTGTGCGTAAAATCTTAACATGATATTCACATAAATTATCGACGGTGTAGAGCCTATCTAACGAAGCGCTCGATAAGAATGTAAACAGTAAATGTATATGCCGTGTTTATCAAATAAAGTAAGACACTCGCGTTTTACTTTTTCAAGAAGTAGAACAATAAATACGGAATGCCTCTTGGTGCCGTACCATTTCCGTTTGGAATATGTCGGATATGCAAGGATAAAGCTACGGGACTGCATTACGGAGTAGCAACATGCGAAGGGTGCAAGGTTAGTGCAAGTGTACTTACGTAGATACGATAGTAGACGATATGATTTAAGGTTAAGATGACACCGGTTGTCAAACATTAACGTATGTAGTTGTTTTGAATTATAGCTTATAACATAAAATTGACAAAGTGGTACGTTCTTACTTTTTTGACACGAAATCATAACTATTAATTGTGCAATATTAAGTAAAATTCTGGCGATGAAATTTGTTTTAAATATAACTTTTGTCCATGCTATTGCTCCAGAATCAATTTGAATGACATTCTCTTACGCTATAAAATTAAAATTAAAAAAAACCCTAAAATATTTGTTAAAAGGTAGTTCAGAAATACTGGTACTGATTTTCCCTATTTGAGAAAGCATTGCAGTGCATTTAAAGTTGTTAGCAGTATTAAATATACAGGGGAGAAATCTATAATGTTCAGGTAATTTTAACAGACAATTAAGGCGGAAATTGACTTTACCTTTTTTATTGCTTGTTTTGGGTTGCAACAATGTTTTGCTTTTGGAGGAATGGGGGTCTGGGGGTGTTCAAATAGACTCTTAATTTATAACAGCATCGTGTCCCCCTGCGGAAGTAGGTGACGTGTACACATTTGAATTATGATTTATCTTAACTCATTTTGACGATTATTTGAAAATATTTGGTTTTATTAATCTAGCATATATATATATCCATAACATATTTGACGTGAATAATACTTGAGTTATAGCGTCTAATACGAATGATGAATTAATTAACTGCTTGTTTCTCTTGGTAAATCCGCTTCTTCATGTAAGTCAACATCTTGCCAACTAATCTTTGAGGTCATTGAACTAGGTTACTGTTGAACTACTGTGAACACCGACACATTATTGGTCCGATGCGCTTGATAATGAGGTCATATTTAATAGAGTCAAGCAAAAAAATATCTATAAAAAGTACAAACACGTGTGTGTCCCACAAAGTATAAATGATCAGTGTTAGATAACATTCACTATCTAAAACATGAAAATTCGTAAACTAGAACAAAAACCACTGAATGTTGACTAAAAATGTAAAGGTAATGAGTGGATACTAGTAGTGCGTGTGAATTAACACATGTACAAGTTGTACATTTTAGAGAAATGCGCGGTGACCGTAGTACTCTTATGGTAATCGATATTTGATAACCGCACATTATGACTCAGAAAAATAATGTTTCCTTCTTTAGTAAAGTCATTTATGAGTTTATATTGTTGAAATAATGATTTTATATAGCCTGTTAGATACTTCTTACCTGCTGAAAGTAGCGTAGAAGCAGAAATTATTTGTCATAAATGCAGCAAGATGTAAATCAGTTGTGTTGTGACATTCATACACTAAACCACTATCAATGTGTAAATTGCTAAAAGCAAAAGAAGCAAAATATAGTTCAGAGAATTGGCCAATAAGTAACGTTTTTGAAAACTCTGACAGGACATGGTTAAAAATAAAAGTTTTTTTGAGAAACAAAAATAAAAGCATTCCTTAGGCATAAGAAATGGTTCTGTTTTTATTCCTCGAAAGCTTCTTATAAAATAATAAAAAAAACTAAAGTTTTTCTATTTTTGGTGTCCTGTTATAGTTTCCAAAAGCTTTTTCATTGGGTCAATTATCATATATGCATCGTTTTGCTTTTTTTGCTTTTTTGCAAGTGATATAGTATTTTGTATGGAAGATAAAATACTACTTTGTTTACATTTTGCTACTTTGATTACAAGTAATATTACATCTTTAGGTGATAAGCATCACACATGCTCTAAACCATTATAAACTTATGTGTGCCCTTTCTAAAGATGGATTGGGGGGGGGGGGGGAAGAGTATACTCTGCCTTTAAACAGAAACGAATTAATAGTTCTGTCTAACATGAGTTTATAACGTGAATTACTAGTAATAAATTTAGTGTATGTTATATGCTTATTAGCTGAAGGAAATAGCCCTGCTTATAAAATTATTTATCATAAAAGCAGAGAAATTGAAACAAAGAAGTATTAGTATTTTGACTTCCATGCAAAACATTTAATCTTTTTAAACTATATTTATTAAGAAGGTTTAAGGAATTGGGGATATGTTTAATTTTGAGAAATAAAAACATTAACGCATTTCTGGGGTAATAGTGGGCCTGCTTGGGCCTGCTTTTTGTCTTGTTCTATTTAATTGCCTTTTATATACATGCATATAATTTCCCTTATTTTCTCTCCCTCTCCCTCTAAACAAAACAAATAAAAATCACTTCAAAAATGAAATTGTTTTGCCATGAAGGACATGATTTTATTTACAAGTATGCTACGGTTTCCACTTGTTTTTTTACCAAGCACGGAAAAAAGTGGAACACTTCACGTCGGACAGCTCTTTTCAAATACTCGGTGTTTAAGTTAACACCTATTCTACCGTATCTATGTAAATTATCATTTATTTCCTATAAGCCCAAATACGCCAACGTAAAAGCCAATCCAACCTAATGACATTGATTTACTATTGAACCAAATTATCCTCTTTTATGTTTAAAGTTTTATAAATATTATCATAAATCTAAGAAGTATTTAATGTGTAAACATCATCACATTGGATAAAGAGCAGGGTCTTTCAAATAGAATTCGATTTGAAAGACCCTGTAAAGAATGACTATAAAAGATACAATGTATTCTATTCGATCAATAATTCTATATAAGCCAGTGCCAAGAGAATTATCCTTGAATTCTAATTGATGTATTATTTGTTTTTATTCCATATCGAGCTCATACGGTCTATTAAATAGTTCTGTAAGTGGGAATTTTTCATTCTTTGTTGATGGTGATGTATTACATTTCTTGAAGCCATATCTGTCACATATTAAAGGTATGATCAGTGGATAAAAATATTCGAATTACTGAGCTTCGAAGCACAGACGCTTTGTTGTCAGCCACTGGCCCCAATTTTGTCCCGCCAAAATATTTCAACACGAGTAGCAAATCTGTCTAATTCATATACTTGTGTAACGATTTAGAATGGTTCACTTTATAGGGGAGAGGATGTGCAAGCTGCCAGATAGCTCAGTCGTTATATTCGAAGAACGGTTTTCAGAGGGTCTAGGTTCGAGTCCCGGTCAAGCTGCACATGTTTTCTCACCCTGTTGCAGATGGATCGATAAAATACCATTTACAATCAAGCTCAATAAAGAACTTTCTTGAAACATGATGTTAATTGGATTTTTTTAAAAATTCATGTTGTACCCGAATTACATGTAGGTCACATTTTATGATTCACAATGTTAAAAAGTTATCGAGATTGACAAGGGCGAAATAACGTACAGGGACGCAGGTTGTACGGCGCGAATTCAGACATAACGCTTATTAAACTTTAAATTTTATATTTAATTTAATGATATTTGCTAGCTTGATTACTTCAAAAGTGGCATACGACGTATTCAGTACATTAGATCATTTAGCTCGTGTTATAATTACATGTAATATAGCAGCGGATGTTTAGCAAAGAGGATGGAAACTTAATCAATAATTCCTAGGTTATGAAATGGCATTGAGGACATTGGATTTAGCTCTATCAAGAGCTTATTTATCTAGTGTGAAATTTCTCTGCGAGGATACAGTTATAAAGTAGGTTTCACGCGGCTCACTTCTATGACGAAGTAGAACGTTTGACATGTTATTTAAAGACATAGCACTGTGTTAATATGCCGCTTGGCGCCGTACCTTTTCCGTTTGGAATATGCCGTATTTGTAGGGATAAAGCCACGGGTTTGCATTATGGAGTAGCTACCTGTGAAGGGTGTAAGGTAAGAGGTGCTTAGCCAAATTCGATTAATATTATAATATATGTATATAGACAAATTCAGTAATGCGTTTCATTTTCAAGCTCGGGTACTTAGCAAATGGACAAAACTGTGCAGTATGTTGTGAAAAAAAACAAGATTTTGTTTGAATTGTTTAATTTGAGTTTATATTTCCTTTGTTGGTATATTAAATGAAATCGTTATCATAGTGGATAGACGCGTCTACTTTTTGTGCTTGCAAGACAAAATATAAGTTAAAAAGTATGCTTGCAATAAATCGAACAAGGATTGAAAGTAGTATAAATAGGGGAGAAAACTCGAGAATATAACTCATATCGTTTAAAAGGAAACCTTACAAATTTAAGGTATTAAACTTAATTGCTTTGAGAATACTTATAACACGCCACGCAAACAATTACTGAACTTAATTGATGTAGATATTTTACTTCATTGATAATGATACTTCGATATACTTTAAATGTAAAGGTTATTTTAATTCATATCCATTTTTTTATCTGTTTAATACAAATATCAATAGTTAGAAAAAGGCTAAAGATCAGCTGAAAACTTGTCATAGCTTTTTATCATAATGTTTACGGATTTCTTTTGGTGATTGTTTTTGTAAGCTGTGGAAAGAAGTGATAATTATTTATTTGTAAAAAGTGACAAGGGTATCATCGATATGACAAATGAAAGAAGTTGTCAAATATATAATTATATGCGTTTGAAAAAGTCTAACTTTAAACTTAACTATTTACTATTAAAGTTTCTATCTCTTAGTTGTATCATTCTGACGTGAGAAGAGCTATAACGCGCATAATTAATTTATAGCAACATGCATCCAGATTATGCTAATTTTCATGAAAAGTTTGAAAATATATTAAAAAGTATACACTATCCCACAGAACCAAATAAAGTTTATTTCTTTAAAAAGGGCAGACATGATTTTTTAACGTTCAAATAATGGTTTAAAAGGATGAAAAATGCATGTTACCAGCAAAAAAGTAGCGCTAAATGTGAAGTAATTTTTCATAATAGTAGCCAAATGTAAAAAATGTAAACAAAGTACAAATGTAGTACATGTATTTTGACTTACATACACATACTGAATCACTTTAACTATACTAATTGCTAAAAAGCAACATAAGAAAAAGATGGTTCAGGCAATTGGTCAATGGTTAACTTTTTTTAAAACTGTAAAAGATAACGATATATAAAAAGCCTTTGAGAAATAAGAAATATATCAGTTCTGGCGCATAATAGGCCTTTTAAAGTAAATATTGTGAAGTTAACAAAGTAACAAAGAAAAAAAATGAAAGATTGCTCAAGTATCAACGCGAAACTCAGGAACTTGCTAATCATGTCAAGGAACAATTGAAAGACAATGGTGATTATTCTGAAAGCTGTAGTTTACGAGTAATGTCCCCTTTTAATTTAAAATTGTAGTTATGTTTCCTTATTGAGTAGAACTTTTACAAAACAAAGTTATGAACATGAAACTTAATTTGCTTGTTTAACATAATAAGGCACATTTTTGAGGTAGGTTCAATTTTTCAGAAAGTTATATTTTTGGAGTAATGGCCCCTTTTTAACTAAGATTTTTTTTTCATCAAAACTGTTTATTAAGTACAATTATCTAAAAACTATCAAATGTATGCACACGAAATTTTGAATACTTGATTACTATGACAAAACGAAATTGTAAAACGTACAAGGGGTATTATCCTTAAAGCAATGTTCGTAGGAATTATGTTCCCTTGTTACAACAAAATATTAGTAAAAATGTTTGTTGGTAACAGTATTGGCGTACATGCTAATGTAACAAGGCATATCTGCATGACAAGGGACATAACTAAGTGGTCAGTTCATATATTTAAGTACATGTATGCACAATGTTTGCCTGAAAAATAGTTTAACTTTTGTATAACAATCACAAGGTTATTCTTCTTATTGAAAAGTAAAGTGCAAAGAAGACATGATACCATAACACTCTTGAGTTGAGTGTTGGAGCAACTTATTAAATTCTGTATTCGGTGTATACCGGACAAGGTGCTTGAGTGAATTATTGCTAAAATTTTGCATTTTCACCCGTCGAAATGCACCTTTAGATGTCTCATTGATCTTTTTCTACCGATTAATATACGGATGTAAATGGAAACTGTTAGAATCGGCGGGAAATGCAATGTTTTTCTATTTTGTGATCATGATTTCTGTAAGCGTCCTGAGTTACTGCTCCAGCATTGTAGTGATTTAAATCCATTTTAGTTGTTGCCTTAAATGACGAGCGTTAACACCGCATGTGGTACTATGAATTTCAGACATCTCAAAATTTGCGGAGAAATGGTAGATATATAATTTAACCAAATTCACATCAAACGCGGTGTGATCTTTGGTCCATACTGGGAAAATACATTAAACTTTGTCAAAACTACAGTGCAAAGCTTCAGCAAGAGGTCTTTTATGGAATTCACGCGTTTTTAAGCGTATCAAAAAGCCTCAGCGAGCTGCCAAGAAACGAGGTATAATATCTAAGATTTTGGACATCTCAGATTCTAGTTATTTCTAGATAACATATCGGTTTTTTGATGCGACGAAACTTAATGTAATGTTAATGATTGTACCATGCAGTTTTTTTTCTCTCTAAAACATCGCCCACATATGGTTATGTATTAATTGTTACTTCGTTTGTTTGCGCAAGAATCGAGCGTATAAGTTCACGAGGGCGACTTGTTGCATCTGGGTTTACATCACTGCATCCTGTGTTGTAAGCCTATACAATTCAGTTTCAATTCTGATTATACTTTTAAAAGGATATGGTTATAAATGATTGACAATGGGCATTCTTCAATTGATTCTGATTGTCAGGCATATTTTTTAATCATAACTTAACCGAAAATCATTTCATTTTCCATCAGATGTCAAATGTTACTAATTATACAAATATTACATCCACATCTGAATACATGTGGCAATTGTAGCCGTTCCTGTTAGCGACGTATACCGCATGTCCCAAGCCACTCAAAACGAAGAATTTAATACCACGTGATAACAAAATAGACCTTAAAAAGGGGCGCCTACGGGGCACGTCATCCACCACGTTTTTATGTTGGGTTACTTTTATGTAAAATTGAAATATTGTACTGTCGGCATGTACGAAGCAAAAAGTCTATATCACGAAAAGTAAATGTTACGAATGACTTGTAATCAAATGATCGCTAGTCTCATGGGTTCACACCCCGTCAGGGGCAAGTCGTTGTTTTCCTAAGCAAGAAACTTCAACTCATTGCTCAGTACTGGGTGGTTCCAAGAACGGATTTGAAAATGTTACTTTACGCTTATAGCTTTCTACACAATTTAGCTAAAATAAGTTCTGTGTGTGTAAACCAAATATATACTTTCGTTTTACATTATCAAAGATAACACTCTCTTTCTGTTTTGCATCTAAAATTACGTGGTGGAACTACTTTCAAATCCGTATTTACTCCGAGGTTATTATGAATAATAGCCGGCCGGGTGTTCCGATTTGGTGTTCCTAATTGACTTTACATTTACGTTATCAGCTTACGGAAGATAATTCCAATTGATTGCAAATATCCATTGCGGTTTCACAAAGGGGCATGATTGGCAACATTTAAATCGGTACTTTAATCGTCTTACATTCGTTTTGATGACTAAGATCATTTTCATTTCCTTTGACTTTAATTTTCAAACGAACTTGGTCGTTATCTACGGTAATAATCCCGCTTCGTGTGGAATTCATTTTTAATCGGATTCACTCATATTTTTAGAGGGGAAAAAATAGAAAAAAAACCTAACAAATTATGCATGCTATTTTCCTTTAAATAGCAGGATCATGTCATTACTGACAGTCATCATAGTGAAGTAGCCGTTAATGTGTATAAAGCTGTAATGTTGTCTGTTTTCTGTACTTTACAATATTTTTGTTTTAAATTTGACAAAGACTATTCCAAAATACATTGCTAAGAGGGTATGGCGCATGCACGAAATTATTGCTGAACGGCAAAAACCCTATTCAAAATAGCACCGTAATATATTGTTCCGGAATGTTTTAGTCTGTTAATGTACAATGTTCATGTGTGTTGAATAACAGAGACATACTATGTAACCCCCCACCAAAAAAAAAGCAACCCCCAACCCCCCCCCCCCAAAAAAAAAAAACCCAACAAAACAAAAATAAAAAAATAAATTTAAATAGAAGAAAATAGTCCGACAAGACACCAGTGAAAATACGGAAAAATGTTTCACTGCAGTGAAAATATTTTTACAGTGAAAATACGGAAAATAAATTTACGCATTTTATTTCATTAATATTTCTCAATATTTCACAACTTATAGACAACAAAATTTCTTACGCAGTTTTATTTTTATAGATAATACACCTCAGGTCGAAATTGGTAAAAAAAATGAATAAATAAATGTATAAATAAATATATCTAAAACTTTGATAGTAAAATTTAGATGAAACAAGTATAATCATCAATTTTTCAGTGGAAATATATTCGGTTGGTTCCCAAAGTAACTGATCCAAAATTGTTTCATAAAATAATAAATAACTAAAATGTCGAGAAACTTCTTCAACATTGACATATAAGTCATGTGTATCATGTACTGAGGTAAAATAGAAATGACATCAAAAGTTTGTTTATTACAATATAAATCATTGGCTTGACAAAGGTTGTATTATATTGCATTTTATTACCTTCTCACAATAGAAAGATGTTTTTCATTTCTCTTGCTGATGAAATATGATCTATACACGTATTAAGAAAAATAACTAATTTTTATATTTATAGGGATTTTTTAAAAGAAGCATCTCCAAGCATGAGACTTTCAAATGTTACTTTGGTGGGTCATGTGACATAAACCCCAAAACTCGCAGCCAGTGTAAAGCATGTCGTTTCAAAAGATGCATGGAAACGGGAATGTCAATAGATGGTAATATACTTGTATATGTTTCTTTGATTGTTGGTTTAACTTTTGTATAAATCTCAACCCATTTTTGGTCATATGATTTCAGCGGTCGGTCCATACAACCGGTTTTACTGGATAAAAAGATTACGTACCAATTTCTAAGCAAGTGACACTCAACTAATCACACATGATTTCTGTCTTAGGGGTGAGGGAAACACGGCCATAAAAATTCCTTTCATTGTCACAAATATTTTCGCCACGTCCCAGGATCGAACTAGCGACATATTGATAACGAGTCCGATGCTCTCCCAATAGTGCTAAGAGTATATTTGTTATTTTGGATATAGTATGACAAAAAAGTATATTGTATCTATGTTTCATAATTGTGTACAAAATAACATCCATGTTTACATAACTTCGTTATGCATGTATCTGGCTTTTAAATTAGTTGCCACAGTATTTTTAAACTGTTGTGAAATTTCTAAGATTTGAAACACTTCTTATGTTTTACTGATATATTTTATTTTGAAATAAGTTTTTATTACCAATTTTCTTATATATATTTGATATTACACTTATGAACGTTATAATGTTATGAGTTTTTAAACTCAAATGATATATACAGGTGTACGAATGGGGCGGATTCCAAAAGTCGAGAAAGATAAAGTTTTAGAAGCTTTTCATGATGGTGGGTCACACTATAGTAACCACGAGCTTGTTGTTGAGCAGACGGATGGTGGCAACTATAGGTTTGACCTCAATAAAACAGTAACAGCAAGTAAAACAACAAATACATCATCAAATGAATCACCCTCATGTTCTTTGACACCAGTTACATCAGTTTCAAAAGGGAATGACGTAGGTTATGGCCTACAATCTTGCGGTGATGCCATTATTAATGGAAGTAACGTAACCCCTGCATCTCTTATTGACAATACTGACGAATTTGGTTGTATTATAGAAGATATACAAAAACAACCTGTTAAAAATTTATCTTCTCAAGCTATAAACAAAGACGCCGTATTTGATAATGTTAAAAGCATACCTCTAGAAGACTCGGTAGACACACCAGTAATGTTTAAGGCGGAAGGGGATAACACTTTCGGTCACCATTTTCCAGGGAACCAAACGTCAATTGGTACCCTTATTGACAACGTGCCGAGTGAAAGATGTGAAAATCCTTTCAATGATAAATACCATAATGTTAGTTTTGGCAAAAACAATCAACACCAACATAGAAACTCGAATGTTTCTCAGCAGATGTTAAATGATCAGAGATTTGTACAAAATATGAATGAATCATTCAATAACTTTTCATTCTCAGAAAGTGCGATGAATCCTTTAAAAAGTAAGGCGACTGGATATAGCAAAGTATATAGTAACGCTGATAATCCAATTGATCAATCAGATGGTTTGAACTTGATTGGTCAAAGGCAAGGAGATGATATTAGATCCTTTCAGAATGACATAACCAATCAAATGGAAGACAACATAGAAAGAGTATCCAACAAACGTGAAGGAAACTTTAGAGCATGTACATCTTCAGCTGTACAAAATCTCAGTCAATCGTTTTTAGGTAGCCCAAAACTAAAAGAAGAATCTGAAGAAGAGTGTTTAAGAAGAAGGAAAAGTTTTAGCCCAACCTTGATTAATGTTTTACTAGAACAAGTTCTTGATTCTCAAGAATCCATTCATGTTATCACTGAAAGAATCCACCAAAAGCATCAGCAAGGAAATTTAAGTCCTCTCGTTGCCCAAAATCTTTCTCAACGCCTCTCAGAATTGTCAGCATCAAAAAAGCGACGTAAATTGTCGGACGAATCTATGAACAGCCCTTGTCCAGAAAACAGGAGCAGAAAACTTGAATGTTTAGATCATGTCAAAACGAATACTATAAACGAATTACACCCGCCGCCCGTTTTATCTTTAGGACATCAGGACTATTTTGAAAACGCTGCAAACAATAAGGAGTCAAATCATCAAAACGAGCGTATTTATCGTAATCATCAGGCTGACCATTCACACGTCCACTGTCATCACGTGCATTCCGACTCTTGTGGGATGTGTAGCTTCAATGTGGCAACTAATGTTCGGAAGTATGAGGATATAACTGGAGCTCCTATAAGTACCGGGACTGTATCTAGTACATCATTATCTATGGAAGAGGAAAACAAACAACAGCAGGTTAGAAATACATTGGACGGTATAAACATAGCTATGAGAATTCTGAACAGACTGAAAGCGGAACACAGGGAGAAAATTCGCCAGTTTAAACTCGGAAAGGTATGTAATGTTTAAAACAGATTTGTTTCAAAACCTAAAGAGATATTACCTCTCTGAACAAGGTCCAGAACTGCTTAATGCGAATATTGTAATTATATTTGTTTATCTTTAAACACATAGAAAATAATCACCAATAACCTACACAAAAACGAAAACTGTCCAATTAAGGAAATGTTTTACTCGGGATGACAAGATGAACATTTAAATTTAGTTAGACAACAGTATAGTGCCCTGCCAGGCTGTACGGATGTACAGGCTGACTTGTCTTTAAACTGGTGGCAAACGCTTATTACTTCCAGTTCGGCAGTTAAAGCATTCATACAATTTAATATTGTTTACAATCAAATCCACTTAAAGATCACCAATAAGTTTATATGTATACATTATGACATAAAATCATTTTGTGATAATTTTTGTATCTGTGTTTGTTTATTAAGAACGGGAACGGGATGGCAAATAGCTTATATATTATATATATTTTTAACATGGATTTTGACAGAATTACGGCGCTTTTTGAACACAGAAAATTCTACATTATTCAGGGTCTTGTTTTACTATTAAGCATTGAAAAACGTCAAGGACGTGTATTGTCCTTCTGACATCTCTTGTTTATTTCCTAATTCCTCAGATTTACATTCGAGTGATGACAGACAGTGAAGAAGACATCAAAGAAACGTACTCGAAGCTTATCAGTGGAATTCCAAGCATTAATGAGCGGATACTCGGTAAGAACTGATACAGGTTTGAAATACTTTTTTGTGTTCAATTTGCTCAGGTTTAAGGCAACATTAGGGTTGTTTTGCGCTCCAGTTATGCAAGGGAGCACATTTTTTGTCTCATCCTTTATAACTTCCTAACGACTTACTACTAGTACACGAGACGTCTTTTGAATACGGGCCTCAGTGACTGAGTGATAACGGTATTTAACCTCGATATGGTTTCGAACCCCGTCATGTACTTAAGTGTGTTATATGTGAGGAAGATGTCCTATTTCACGGACGGTCGGTGCCTGCTCATGTCTGAGATAAGACCTTCCTTCAAACAAGGTTGAAAACTCGACCAAAAATGAGCGTTACAGTGTCGACGTGACTTAAAATATATAAAGCTATACCTCTATGAAATCTATAGTATTATTATGCCGTTTTAGTAATCTAAATTCTTGAGAGAGTTGTAAGATAGAGATAATTTTCTGTTATTTAACACACATGAATATTGCACATAAACAGAATAAAATGTTCTAAAATGTTCTAGAACAAAATATGATGATGTTGTTTTAAGAAGGTTTTTTAACCATTCATCAGTTATTTCGTGCATGTGGCATTCGCTTTCAAAGACAAATAAAATTCAAACATTTTTTTACATACATGTATTTATGAATTAATCTTTTTCAAAGTTAAAACGAAAATTTTGTAACTGCAGACAGCAGATAAAAAGCTTTATACACTTTAAGAAAAAAACTCACCCACCAAAAAAATGTTGTTTTTTTTTATTGATGTACCCTTGAGTATAATTATGCATAACGATAAACGTTCCTAATAAGTTCATGTGGTGAATTCCTTGCACTGGTAATATGTCTGTTAGTAACCTACCTATATTAATCAACTTGTTCTATATTCTAAATTAAGACCAGATTACATTTAGATTGTTACTATTTTTGGTCTTCATTGTAAATTTTGTAGATATCAATCTTATAGAAGTGTTTAAGAATGATTCGACAAAGCTTTGACATGTTCAACGGATGTTCAATGTACAATAAAATGTTAACAAGGCAAAATAAAAATTGTGCAGTTTAAAGGGACTCCGTTGAGGCTTTTTTTGACATGACGGGACTTAAAATATTTTTTCTGGTATTTGCCCACTTTTTTCAGAATAATTATTCTAATTGTGAAAAATGACTCAAATTTGAATAGCGTTACAACGCTTTTCACCCAAACCTGGTAATGAACAGCACGCAAAATGATTTTTAATTCATTTTTGAGTATATTTTTAAATCCCCTTTTTTAAATATAATTTTTGTTTTAAGTGCCCAAGCTGATCTATGTAAGAAATTCAAAATTGTTAAGCTGATGGACATCAGTGGAGTTTCTTTCAATTTTAGAATTTAAACGTTTAAGAATTCAAATATTCCAACGGTTGCATTATTGCTTATCAGGGACGAGAATATGGGCAATATAAAATGACTTTCTCTTTGCTCAATAGTTTCTTAACAAAAACGAAATTAGTTTGCATTACTTGGGAATCAACAACACTTGTAAGGTCTGAATCCGACGATCCATGAAATAGGTTTTTTCTTGTGACCTTAATTTAACAGTGCCCGATAGACTTAAGGAAAACTTGTAGTTTTTCTAAAAAAAATTTGCAAACCAAATCTATATTTTACATCATAATCATTATTATGGTGACTTGTATTTTTGGAAAAAACTGTTTCATTTATGACATCAGAATGGACACAGGTGTTTTATAGCTTAGAATTTTTGTAAGAGTGTTTTTCTCTCTCTATTAGTTATAAAGTCAGAAAATAGCAATAGCTCAAAGGGCATTGATTCTTACTGAGAAATAGCTGGAGCTAGTATTGATTTTTACAGTTCTTGACAACTTTTTTAAACCTTTGGCTTCAGAAAAGGCGAGTCCACTGGTACCTAATATGATACAAATGTAGTTGTTACTAAACAGGCGGCAAATAATAATAGTGTGGCGTAGAGACTTCTTAACACGCTTGAAGCTGTATGCCTCCAGATGAGCCAAAATATTTTAAGAAAATCAAACTTAAAAAAACATTTACTAAGATTTAAGAAAGAAATTTTAAGAGAATTTTTAGATTGAATTAATAATTAATGTAATGACTGATTTTTCAGTATTTATAACCATATTTCTATTGCGTGACTAACGCAGTAATGGCTATTTTTAGCTCACCTGTCACAAAGTGACAAGGTGAGCTTTTGTGATCGCTTTTCGTCCGGCGTCCGTCGTCCGTCCGTCCGTCGTCCGGCGTCCGTCCGTAAACTTTTACTTTAAATGACATCTCCTCATAAACCACTAAGCCAATTTCATCCAAACTTCACAGGAATGTTCTTTTGGTCGTCACCTTTAAAAATTGTTCAAAGAATTTAATTCTATGCAGAACTCTGGTTGCCGTGGCAACAGAAAGAAAAAACTTTAAATATCTTCTTTTAAAAAACCCTGAGAGCTTGAGCTTAGATATTTGGCATGAAGCATCTTCTAGTGAGTGTCTACCAAGTTTGTTCAAATAAAAGCCCTGGGGTCAAAATTGGCCCCGCCCCAGGGGGTCATTGATTTTCCCTATATACATATAGTAAAAACTTAAAAAATCTTCTTTTAAAGAACCCAAAGAGCTAGAGCTAAGATGTTCAGCATGAAACATCTTCTAATGAGTGTCTACCAAGTTTGTTCAAGTAAAAGCCCTGGGGTGAAAATTTGCCCCGCCCCAGGGGGTTATTGATTTTCCCTATATGCATATAGTAAAAACTTAAAAAGTCTTCTTTTAAAGAACTCAAAGAGCTAGAGCTAAGATATTTAGCATGAAACATGTTCTAATGGGTGTCTACCAAGTTTGTTCAAATAAATTCCCTGGGGTCAAAATTGGCCCCGCCCCGGGGGTCATTGGTTTTTTCTTATATGTGTATATATAGCAAAAGCTTAAAAAATCTTCTTTGAAAAAACCCAAGTAGCTAGTGTTTAGATATTAAGCATGAGACATCTTCTAGTGAGCGTATATCAAGTTTGTTCAAATAAAAGCCCTTGAGTCAAAATTGGGCCCGCCCCGGGGGTCATTGATTTTCCTTATATGTGTATAGCAAAAACATAAAAATCTTCTTTGAAAAATTCCAAATATCTAGAGTTTAGATATTAAGCATGAAACATCTTTCAGTAAGTGTCTACAAAGTTTGTTCAAATAAAAGCCCTGGGGTCAAAACTGGCCCCGCCCCTGGGGTGTCAATGTTTTTAACTATATTTGTATAGTAAAAATATAAAAATCTTCTCTTAAAAAACCCAATGAGCTAGAGCTTAGATATTTAGCATGAAACATCTTCTTACGGTTGTCTACCAAGTTTGTTCAAATAAAAGCCCTTGGGTTAAAATTGGCCCTGGCGGGGAGGGGGGGGGCTGGTCATTGTTTTACATTATATGTGTGTAGTAAAAACTAAACATCATGAAACATCTTCTAAGGGTGTCTTGCAAGTTTGTTCAAATAAAATCCCTGGTGTTTAAACTGGCTCTGCTCCGGGGGCCTATATACAGGTGAGCGACCTCAAGGCCATCATGGCCCTCTTGTTGCATATTTTGATCTCTTTCTGGAAATTTATTTGGATAATAAGTGCCGTTTATAATGTGTAAACTATTTTCTCTGTCCACTTTACAATATTTTACTTCTAAATACATTTTTCAAAATATTCATAAAAATAAGCTTGAATCTGGAGGCATGATTCTTTAATATCTTAAATGGACTTGTTCCATCTTTCAATCTGGACAAACCCATTCATATTTTTAGGGAATTCAAAAAACAATCTATGTACTGACTGAATAGCGGACAGAGCAGACCATATTAACTGAAACTAATATTCCTTTTTTTGGGGGGTCAAAAAAGTTTGCGCCTATAAGTATGATCATTTGGCAAGCAAAACGGTTAAATTCTCCAACTTCCTTAGTTTGCGCCTAACTGTTGCGTTTGGTTGACAAGCATACCGGTTTAATCTAGTTCTCCAACTTATTTTCAGGGTTCTGTAACAATGTCCCTGGAATTCACGACATTACAAAGGAAGACCAAGATGTTCTAATGAAAAGGGCTTATTATGACATATGGATGGTATATTTTTTTTTTTATGAAACTCTTACGATGATAAATAACTATCTTAAATGGACTTTGACCTTTGATTGTGTTTGGTGAAAATTTCAAGAAATTTATTGACTGAATAGTAAATGGTGCCGACCATGTTCACAAGACACGAAATTGAATAGTAAGGGAATTTCAATCAAATTTAGTGGCATTTTTAGTTGCAGAAATGGGAATATTTAAGAATTCAGCATAATTTAAAATTGAATGATAATGTAATTTTTAATGAATTCAGCACAATTTAAATTTGAAGATTTAGAGAAGTTGAAGTGAATTCAGCCATTAATGATAAAGGAAAGATTAGTTTTCAATTAAATTCAACATACATTAATGAATGATTGAAGAAAAATAATTTGGGGATTTTACCTTTTGAGAATAAGCGCAGGGTAGTGGCCTTGTCCGGAGCAGAGGGTCATTTTGCTACTCCTACCTGTCTATCTGGAAGGCAGGGATGACGATTTACCAGTCTATAACATTGGTTATTAAGTTTACATTTCTCTTCATTCTCTTCTACAGCTATGTTCCGCCGAGTATTTTGAAGATGACGTGAGTTACCTTATAATGGAGTCGGGAGAAATTTACTCAAGAAGAGCCATGAGGAAGATTCTAAATGACAACATGGTGAACAAACTATTTGAGTTTGCAAACCAATTTAACAGTCTGAAACTGACAGATTTGGAAATAGCCATTTTATGTGCGACCCGTTTAACAGCGACAGGTATTTTTTTTAAATATCTAACTAACCTTTTATGCATCTGAAAGAAATTTAGCTTATAATGTCTTCACTTTGTTTTTAAAACCGTATACATTACACATGTCTTGGAGAGATCCTATGTAAATCATACATTTATATATTTTTGTATTTCCACTTAGATGAGCTGGAACTTTCTGACCGTGCCACGGTCGCCGCTCTACACTCACACCTTTTGGATGTGCTAGCAGAGGAAGTTAAACAGAACCACGAGGTTGCCCACGCTCGAAAGTTAATTGACATATTCAGTTTGCTGCCGCTCCTTGAAACAGTTAACAGAATACAACGAGAAATCATCGCAAAGTACTCTGTCTAGGTCAAAGGTGAAGATATACAAAAATTCAACTTTCATAATATACATTTTTTGTATAGAAATTTGAAGAAACTACATGTATATTCTTTTTGTGATCAGGTTTGATCAAATTTACTAATTAAAATTCTCCTGTTTGTTATATCATCTTTATAGGAAAGTTATTTTTATATGTTCTGGTAAAGTAAATCGGTTAAAACACGGCCAATAAATGTCTTAAAAAGGCGTGTATCCAGGATTTTTTAAACTGAGGAGTGCAAACTTTTGACTAGGGGTAATGCTTATTCCAGAGGTGTGGGACCATACGTAAATTCTTTGCCGATTTAAACGTTTTGATAGATTTTCACTTTTTAACACCATAAGATGATGATTTTATGGTGTTATGACCCTCTACACTGCCTTCGGCCTAAAAAGGCGATAAAGGCAGACACAATGTTATTATTACATATACAATTAGTCTTATAGTTTTACTTATTTTATGGCCGCAAGATACACTACTAATGTATTTACACAGCTATCCTGGAAGTTAATTGCTTTATGTTTTTGTGGGATAGTTCCAAACATCTTTTTTTTCCAGTTCAGAATTAACGCTCACTTCATTGTTTATGGTACAAAGAGATAAACACAAATTAATAAAATGGTCCGGGTAAAAATGACTCAGATATAAGGCCATTTGAAGATTTTCTCTGTGCAGGTAAACGAGTCATTATTGCAACCCATGACTTTGTTGTTCATGTTACCACTACACTATGTACCCTACTAGAACATGCTTACTACTATAAACCATGCACACCATTAGACAATGCACACTTGTAGACATGTAAACACAGTACTAAACCATGTACACTACTAGGCGAGACACACTACTTGACCATGTAAAACCTAAAACCATATACACTAATAGACCATGTACACCAATAGACTATTGCACTGTACACCACTAGACCATATACACTACTAGACTTTATACACCACTAGACCCAATACACCACTAGACCATGTACGCCACTAGACAATGCACACTACTCAATCATATACACCACTAGACCATGTACTCCACTAGACCAATTACACCACTAGACTATATACACCACTAGACTATTTACACCACTAGACTATATACACCACTAGACCATATACACCACTAGACTATATACACCACTAGACCATGTACACCACTAGACCATATACACCACTAGTCCATGTACACCACTAGACCATGTACACCACTAGACAATGCACACCACTAGACCATGTACACCACTTGACCAGATACACGTCTAGACCATGTACACCACTCAACCATATACACCACTAGACCATGTACACCACTAGACTGTATACACCACTAGACTAAATACACCACTAGACAATATACACCACAATACCATGTACACCACGTCACTATGTACACCACTAGACCATATACACCACTAGACCATGTACATTACTAGACAATGCACACTACTAGACCATTTACACTACTAGACCATATACACCACTAGACCATATACACCACTAGACCATGTACACTACTAGACAATGCATACTACTAGACCATGTACACCACTATACCATAGGCACCACTAGATCATGTACACAACTTGACCATGTACACCACTAGACCATGAACATCACTAGACCATAGACACCGACAGACCTTTAACCACGATACCATGTACACCATTAGGTGTTAACCACTAGACCATGCACATCAACAAAGCATGTACCCCATTAGACCACTGACACTACGACACTATTTCAATAGATCATGCACACCACTAGACCATGTACACTACTATACCATGTACACCATTAGATGATGCTCACTATTTGACCAAGTAAACTATCACTACACCATACACTTGACCATTTACACGACTACATCTTGCACACTACATAAACATATGTACACCAGTAGACCATTCACACCTTCTTTTTGAAGAGTTTGACAATGGGTTTTCGATAATCAGGAGAATGTCATCAGAACTGTTTGGATATAAATGATAAAATATTTAATTATATACCGACATTTTCATAAATACTAATAAGTGTGTTTTCCCATTTCATTTCAGTGGCTGCTGCAATGGGTAGTTTCAAAATGGACATGCGCATTACATTGGCCTTTCATCTTTTATTGGTGCCTGCATTAACATCTCTATATTTTATACATGTATATTAAAAAATTAAACAAAACTTTTACGGTAAATGTTATAAATATTTAAATATTATATTTATATATGTCTACCTATGAAACATTTAAGAAATTCTAGGTTTCAATCATAATAGTTGTTATATTTATCTCAATTTGTTTGACTCAAACTAGGTTTGTTCTTCAAAACTTAACTGCATTTCTTCTTCTTGATAAAGAATGTAAAGGGGTGGTATATTTTTTAAAACGTTATCTGAACAGCGTTTTAGGCTGTGTTATTACCCGTGGAAGGATGTTTTTAGTTTAACCTTCCCGGAATATATTTTTGTATCACACTATATTTAAACTGTGCCATAAGTTATATGAATTTTATCTAATTAAGTGTTCATTTTTAATATATTTTATTGTTTATGATATTTATACTCATTGTTCTGGTTTATACGAAATATTTGTACACATTATTTGTGTAATATAAATCCGTGTCTAACCCGATTTCCTGAACAAGTTACCATATATAGTAAGTAGCTTTACCGAGAGTGTTGGTGCACCACACTAAATATCGTAACCCGGTATATACCGGAGAAAGCGTTTTAATGATTAAACTTTTTACTGAAGGAAATCAACTTTAAAACGTTTAATTTGTCTCTTTCATACCGATTTATATACGATAATAAATGAAAAATGTAAGATTCGGTATTTTTGTACATTTCAACAAGCGTCTAGAGGTACCGCTTTAACACTGTAGTGATTTAAATCCCTCCGACACTGTAGTGAGTTTAATCCTAGTCAAAAATGCCAAATACGATCAGTTGTCACAAAAATTTACGTCTCGTTCGAGAAAGTATCATTTTATATATAGTATATGTATTTTGTAAGGTTATGCATCTATTTGTATTTGTAGGAATGTTAATAAACAAATATGCTTCTTTTTGCTGGAGTACGCATTTTAAGTAAATTGGCCAATAATTCAATGTCAGTTAAGGAGTTCTAAGTAAATGTTTATGATGAGTGTTTTATTTTGTTTTTATTTATCATATAAATTTTCATTCTTACTCACTTAGAAGTCTTACCAACATTTACATGATATTTTTTTTAAAGAAGTATTTCATAAGAATAAATAAAATGAAATATTTGATATATTTTATACACGATGTTGATATAGGAGTAAAGGATATTCAAGTTTTATCCATTAATACAGGATTTATTTTCATCGAGTGGTATGAAGATAAATATTTCATGAGAGGCGGTAGCCACGAATGAAATTTGATAATTTTCAAACCACAAGATGAAAATGAATTCTTTATTTATAGAAAACAACTTGAATTTTCTGTTTATTATATACATTTTCCATTTTTTTTCAACAATTTGAAAGACTTTCCCTTATATTTTGAGTACTGGCAAAATTTAGGAAAAAGAAGTCCGGCAAAACACTAATGTGAAAATATGGAAAATATGTTTCACTGCACTAAAAAAAAATTACAGTGAAAATACGGAAAAAGAAAAAACGCATTTTATTTCATCAACATTTCTCAATATTTCATTTATAGGTATAAAATATATAAAATGATATATATTTTTATTGTTTTTTAGCTCACCTGTCACAAAGTGACAGGGTGAGCTTTTGTGATCGCTTTTCGTCCGGCGTCCGTCCGTCCGTCGTCCGTCCGGTCGTCCGTCCGTCCGTAAACTTTTGCTTTAAATGACATCTCCTCATAAACCACTGAGCCAATTTCATCCAAACTTCACAGGAATGTTCCTTTGGTGGTCACCTTTAAAAATTGTTCAAAGAATTTAATTCCATGCAGAACTCTGGTTGCCATGGCAACCAAAAGAAAAAACTTTAAATATCTTCTTTTAAAAAAACATAAGAGCTAGAGCTTAGATATTTGGCATGAAACATCTTCTAGTGAGTGTCTACCAAGTTTGTTCAAATAAAAGCCCTGGGGTCAAAATTGGCCCCGCCCCGGGGGGTCATTGATTTTCCCTATATGCATATAGTAAAAACTTAAAAAATCTTCTTTTAAACAACCCAAAGAGCTAGAGCTTAGATATTTAGCATGAAACATGTTCTAATGGGTGTCTACCAAGTTTGTTCAAATAAAAGCCCTGGGGTCAAAATTGGCCCCGCCCCTGGGGGTCATTGATTTTCCCTATATGCATATAGTAAAAACTTAAAAATCTTCTTTTAAAGAACCGTAAGAGCTAGAGCTTAGATATTTGGCATGAAAAATCTTCTAGTGAATGTCTACCAAGTTTGTTCAAATAAAAGCTCTGGGGTCAAAATTGGCCCCGCCCCAGGGGGTCATTGATTTTCCCTATATGCATATAGTAAAAACTTAAAAATCTTCTTTTAAAGAACCCAAAGAGCTAGAGCTAAGATATTAAGCATGAAACATCTTCTAGTGAGTGTCTACCAAGTTTGTTCAAATTAAAGCCCTTGGGTCAAAATTGGCCCCGCCCCGGGGGTCATTGATTTTCCCTATATGCGTATAGTAAAAACTTTAAAAAATCTTCTTTTAAAGAACCATAAGAGCTAGAGCTAAGATATTTAGCATGAAACATCTTCTAGTGAATGTCTACCAAGTTTTTTCAAATAAAAGCCCTGGGGTCAAAATTGACCCCGCCCCAGGGGGTCATAGATTTTCCCTATATGCATATAGTAAAAACTTAAAAATCTTCTTTTAAAGAACTTAAAGAGCTAGAGCTAAGATATTTAGCATGAAACATGTTCTAATGGGTGTCTACCAAGTATGTTCAAATAAAAGCCCTGGAGTCAAAACTGGCCCCGCCCGGGGGGGGGGGGTCATTGATTTTCCTTATATGTGTATAGCAAAAACTTAAAAATCTTCTTTGGAAAAACCCAAATAGCTAGAGTTTATATATTAAGCAAGAAACATCTTTAAGTAAATATCTACAAAGTTTGTTAAAATAAACGCCCGGGGGTCAAAACTGGCCCTGCCCCAGGGGTGTCATTGTTTTTAACTATATGTGTATAGTAAAAACTTTAAAAATCTTCTTTTAAAAAAGCCAATGAGCTAGAACTTAGATGTTTAGCATGAAACATCTTCTTATGGGTGTCTACCAAGTCTGTTCAAATAAACAAAAAAAAGCCCTTGGGTAAAAATTGGCTAGGGGGTGGGGGGCCTATATACAGGTGAGCGACGTCAGGGCCATCATGGCCCTCTTGTATAAGTATTTGAAATACTTATTGAAAATGCGACAATTCAAGGTCATTCCACTTTAAAGTTAATGATGTACATCCACGAATAAAGCCTATTATTGATTTTGTTTGATAAGCATTGTGGGCGATATTGTTACGTTATTGATATGCCTTGGAATATTTCTTTGTTTATTTGTATTCTGTAAAATCTGTTGCGTAGATCGCGAATTTATAAGAAATATTTTGATAAAAGATTTATATTTTTTCTCCGGTGAACCTCAGGAGCTTAATATGTGCCATATAAATGTTCCGTTATTATATGTACATAACATATTATTTACATACATTGTATATATGTCTTCTCCGAGTGATTATTTTTTATATAAATCATGTTAAATAACCAGGTTTTTCAATTTTGAAAATGCTGGTTATTAGATTGGCGAATGGCGGGCGCTCGAGTGGGCGTCAAACAGGTGGTTTCCAGTCTGTAATTAAAGTTTGGAACAATATTTTCTAATGAAACTTGGTATAAAGCAAGCTTATTTGAAGACCTCGTATGGGATTACTTTTGGGTTTCCCCAGGGTCAAGGTCACTGATGCTAATGATAGAAAAATTGTATCCGGTTTGTAAACCTGGTTTCATGGCATTGCCATGTTCCTTGTTAAAGTAACTGTGTTATTGGTTTTGGCATGACTATTTTGTATAGATGTATCAGTAAAGTATCACTGTCATGTGTTATAGGCCCATTAAGCCTAACATATGTAAATATTTTGATTGTCCAAAGTATTTCTATCTTCTATGTCATTTTACAGTTTCCAAAAGAGTAAGTCACTGGCAAAATCATTTTGCAATCACTAAAGTTATAGTTCTCAAGTATTTTGTTTGAAAGTCAAAAACACCACTTTGTTTACATTTTGCTAATTTTATCACATTTTATTTTATATTCAGCGCGATTTCATTCAGATGATAAGCAACTTATTATGTTTTTCTTAGTTCATTATTACAACATTATAAAACAAATGTTTGTCCTTTCAACAGAAAAAAAAGAAGAAAATTTCTCAGGCTTAATGTGCCTTTAAAGTTTCAAGGTTTCATTTCCATTATGTATTAAGTTTTTAATTACAATTCACAAGTGTTCTCTATTGTTGGCTTCAGAATTATTATGTGTTAAGAAATAAAAAGTGGGAAATTTACTATTTCAATTATTGTTTGTTTCTGTTTGTGATCCCAAGTCTGAATCTTTCATGTGGTTAGAAATCCAGAGAAAGAAAAGAATTGTTCACCACACGAAACAATATCTTGTTTACTGCAATAAACAGGATAGGTAAGATAATAAAAATAGCTTTTATACAACTTAATATAAAACAGAAAGTTTGTTACGCCGATCATGACATTTATATGTATTATACGAAAGACCGGTGCGGGCTTTTGAACTTCATGAATTCCCGATTTTAGCTTCATGAAATCTCGAGTTCAACTTTAAGAATTCACGATTTTAACTTTGTGAATTCACGATTTAACTTTACGAATTCACGATTTCAACTTTATGAAGTTGAAATTGTGAATTCGTGAAGTTGAAATCGTGAATTCATGAAGTTGAAATCGTGAATTTATGAAGTTGAAATTGTGAATTCGTGAAGTTAAAATCGTGAATTCACGAAGTTGAATTCGTGAAGTTGAAATCGTGAATTCATGAAGTTGAAATCGTGAATTCGTGAAGTTAAAATCGTGAATTCATGAAGTTGAATTCGTGAAGTTGAAGTCGTGAATTCATGAAGCTGAATCGTGAATTCGTGAATTACGTATTTTGAAAACGGGAATTTACGAAGTTTAAATATTGAATTCACGAAGATGAAATCGGGAATTCATGAAGTTGAAATGACCCTACCGGTCTTTCGTAGTATTATATACACTGCTGCTGTCAATTTATGAAGAAATTGGCAACAATGCAATGCTACATACCTAATTTCTGATCTCTAGGCCTTGTTGTTTACATAATAAGACTTAAATGCTTTTCCTACATAAGATTATATAAATCAATTGACCCCTGGGGCGGAAGGGAAAATATTGTTCCTAGCGGTATGTTTAATATCAGTTTTGTGGATTTTACAAAGCATTGCTACATATTGCAAAATATCCAAACTCTGGGCATTGTAGTTTCACACAGTAGCATTTAAATGTGTTCGCCTATATAAAGTCTAATTAAATAAAGTGACACCGGAGCGGGCCAATTTTGATATAGGGAAGGTCAAATCTATGCATAAACTCATTATAAATAATATGTCTGCCAATGATTTTAATTTGCTATTTCGGTCTAAAACATACATTCTTAGAGAAGACACGACATTTTGAAATTCATAAATTATATGACCTTGACACGAGGAAGGTCAAATTTACCCTCTGCATATCGTTTTATTATGGTTAACATTTCAACTTCCTTTCATCGGTTCAAAAGATATAGAGGGGACATAAAATTACTAACAGACGGACGGACGATATCAGATAACAATAATTGCAAAAATGTTAGGGCGTGCAAAAAGAAATCATGTCAGAAATTACAGTGTTTAGAGATAAGATATTTTATGGTATACATGACCTTATGATTCACTACTTATAGGCTATGTCATATACATAATAATCATCCTTAAAGTGAAAATGGCCCCGCCCTTGAGCCATTTATTTTTACATAGCTTTATATATAGGATCTTTAATAGCTAATATGTGGTATCTTTTTTTTTATTTCGAAACGAGAAGTCGTTTCAATAGACTACAGAAAAGTCAGTATTTTTTTTTTCAAAATCATTGTAAAATCAGATTTCTCCTTATTTAGGAATGGCATTAAGTTGAGTTTCCGGTATATTTTAAAGCCGCAGCCTTCAGCTTTAATTTTTTGATGGGAAAACGATTCTGTGTTTCAATAATTTTATCTTGCAAAAAATCCATCATATCACTGTTACGCCATCTCAAAACAACGTCCCGAGAGTTATTTATAACGAGCCAGTGACGTTTGTTTCTAAAAATAGAAAGTCGAGAAACGAATCCTCCGCTGTAGAGGTATTGAGGGGGTTTCCTTATTGTTGGCGTCAAATTTCCTATTTTTCATTATAACTCTTTGGATTGATTAATATACGAAACGATTTATCTAAAAAATAACATTTTTACTTAAAAAAGTTAAAGGTCGCTTTAACGATATATATCTTATATCAGTTACTCTTGATAAACGTTTCCAGGGAAATATACATTAATTTCCTGTCACTACTAGATGGACAATGTTACTATGTAATGAGCTTAAAACATTAAAAAGTAGAAATTCTAATACTAGACATTAATAGATCTGTTATATCACGATAGGTCTTGTCTTCCTAATTGACAACACCAATTTTACTTCTCTTACATAGAAAATATAGCTTGAGCGACACATT